ATACCTCGTGCAAATGACATATTTAAAATATCTCGTGTTAAAGGTCGCACTAACGAGCTATGTCATATTACCTCATGACAAAGAGAAATGCAGACAAGATATATGTCATGCAGACGAGATAATACATGTATCTCGAGCGAACGACAAAATAAGTCGCGTGAACGACAATCACGTAATAAGTCGTGCGAGCGAGATAAAAATATTGCACAAACCGTTGCAGTTATGCGACTACGTCTTTCAAAAAATAATAATTCAATTATTTTATAATTCCCTGTCTTGTCTGCAGATGTGATTCGTATTTCAAAATCCCTGTATTAGTTAAAGCTGAACACGACTCTTAAATAGGCAGGTGTCTTCCCACTTAGCCAAAATTCTGAAATTTGTACAGGTGACTGGTTTTGGCTAGATGGGAATGGTGTACAGGTAAGGGGAGGGAGAGAACAAAAGAAATCAATTACAGGTATCCTATAATCTGTTTTAGAATGACCAGTATTATGAATGATTTTAAATTATTTATTTATTCTATTTACTTATTCGTTTATTAATTTTTTTTAAATATATTTTGAATTGACGTGAAATAAATGTTGTTTTATTTTTTTTTTCTAACTTTAATCATATGTTTTAATTTAAAATATTTTTTCAAACCTTTTTTTATTGAAAACAAAAAATGAAAATTTTATTATTTCTAATAAATGAATGAAAATGAGAAATTTTAATAAATAAAGAAGCATAAATTATTTTATTCTCAATTTATATATTTTATTTTATCTTATTTTTTTTATTTTATTTTACTTTTTCTATTGAAAAATTGAAAATATTTTAATTTGTATAAATGTATGAAAATGAGAAATATTAATAAATAAATAAAGAAGCATAGTTTATTGTATTGACAATTTATTTTAATTATTAATTCTGTTCTAGGATGATTAGTAACATTAACAGCAATGCAAAAGTAGTCATTCTTACTAAATATAATCATTCTGATAAATAATATTCATATCTAATACATAAAAGCATCATAACAGTCACCATCATAACATTTAAGTAATTAATACTTTTATGGCAAAAATAACATAAATTTACATGTACCATACAGTCATAAACACTTTTTATGTAAACTCGAAGACACATCACTCCAAATGCAGTAGATGGGAGGCAGCATTATCTGGACATTATTATGTCCATGGTATAGTCTTTCCTTCAAGTCTTGAATGCGACGGTCTATTTGTCGATATTTTCTTTTCTTGGGGCGGACAACACCACTAGCAGCAAGCTAAATCATCTTGGCTTCAATGACTGCTTGTTCCTTCTGAATTAACTAGACAAACATGAACAAATTTGGATGGGGGCGTCGACACATCCTGTTGAATTTATGATGCCATCCTTCCACTGCATTTGTTGTCCTTGGCCCTTCATTGTCAAAATGGTTCCAGGTCATCAGATGGCCTTCGACCCAAGTCTCGGTAACATAGTCTTTGAAACGCAAGACATCTTGGTTATCATCGTCATTGTGCTCTAGCGCCTCAAACCATACATCTTCCACTTGATAAAACTTTATACAAAATATAATCAATGATAGAGGAATAACTAAATTAATCATTTCTTAATTTATTAATTCATTTCTTTTCTTTCTTAACCATAAAGATTTTTAATTAATTAATTTATTCATTTATTTTCGCCTTTTTCGATAATACTAGGAGGTCTGGACGATTTCCCAAATATGGAAGTCAAGAGCGATAACCGTGAATTGCTACAAATACACTATAAACAAAGTGTTAATCCTTCTGACCAATCAAATAAATGCATTTGGACAAACCAATGAGAAAATAAATAAAACACGTGGTTTTAAAGTTTTTTTCCTCAGAAGATTTTTTTTAGAACAAACTTTTTGTAAACTTTATGCACATTTAGGAATGATATAGAATATATGACAATTCTACCGTGGTCAAACACGATTAGAATTAGAATAGAATTAGAATTAGCTTAGAATAAATTTTAAGTGGGATTAAATATCTGTCACTACGAGGTAGTAATCCCAAAAGATTAACTTGTGTTAAGAAATTTGATATAAATACAACAGATTTTCAGTTTTTAGCGCCTAACATGAAAATGTTTTCGTATGGGAATATAACAGTCTTAATTATTTCCTGAGTGTTTATTTCAAAATCGGGGTATACTCTCAGCATTCGTTTCACCTGACTGCTTTATTGTCACGGGTATCGGCTTGGAATGGCAACCTGTGTTCGTGCTGGTTAACTTGCATTGCCTTTGTTTACATTTTATTGCAGTTACGTGTATTTGTGTTTGTTCGTATACTGCACTGACCTGTACAGCTGTTGTAAGTTTCTTTGGTATCTTACTCTCCTGCATTATTTAGAAGAAGTACACAGTTATTTTTGTCGTTACCGAGTGCTGTAAAGCATACGTCCGTCTACACTGGTGACGATTGAATACACAGAACACAAGTGAACGGCTTTATATAGGGCTCTCAGATATAGCGAGAGACCAATCGAATATGGCGGACAAATTCCTTTTACAAATCGTGTTCAGCTTTAAAATTAATAGAAGAGCCATTGCAACAGCCACGTTCAATGTGAAAGTCAATCGTAATGTGTTACGATTGTGAAAGTGAAATTTTGATTTTCGCTTATGAGGTTGCACTTGCATGGCGTTCAACGTTGTGACGTCAGAATAAAAATCATCATTTAACCTATAGACCTACCCGTCCGTGTTATCGTAGCTTTCCACACACTTTACAAGCAAAATACATGTGGAATGTAAATATATCATGGCCGTAGGAAACGGGGGGGGGGGTGTCGATATATATAGAATCTTATAGAAAACATAGTAACTACATGCTTGTGCCCCCTCAATAAAAACGTCTGATTTTTATTTTTTATTTTTTATTTATTTATTTATTTTTTTTTTTTGCCTGTCAAGGAATTTTTGGTAGTTGATAGTGCCCCCCAACTGAAAATGTATGGCTGTGCCCTCCCCCCCCCCCCCCCCCCCACACACACACACACAACTGAAATTGCCTCCTATGGGCCTGTAAATAACAATAAGGCTGTCCAAAGTTAATTCTACGTTTAATGTCACCTATAAATTTCAAAACCTATGAGGCAGGGAGGAAAAAAATAAACAGACAAAAATTTCAAACAAATATTTATTTCTTAAAATTAACCTATTCAGTACATAAAAAAAACACTTCTAAGTAATTAAAGTATTAGATTTGATATCTAATTTAGTTTTGCATTACACAAGTAAAAGGTTTTTCCTCATAACACATGCATCCTTTTGTGAGCACACAATGTAGATCTGATGTGCAGAAAAGTGTCTTCCAATTAGGTCTAGAAGTATGTGCATTGGAATTATATTACTACATACATGGAATACTGTAGGAAAATGCTTCCTCTTGTGGAAATAGTTTACTAATATCTACAACTGAAATCATTATGACAATATTTATTACATTATTATATTGAAATATCTTAAATTTAGCATATGCTGTGTTTCTCTGCTGGTCCATTGTATGAGCATTTGGTTTTGAAAGGGAAAATACAATATTTGTTGTACCATGGCTGTTAGATTATATTACCTTGACTTCCACACACAAGACACGGTTGTTAGAATGCTTTCCTCTACCCTCATTTCTTCCTCTCTTTCAATTTAAAGCCCTCATCTCCTGTTAGCTTCTTCCTGCTACAATGTCAATATCTGTTTTCATTCCTTTTTATATTGTAAGTACATAAATACTACATGTACGTGTACAATGAGGTCAACTTTTCCTTTTTATTTTTTTATTTTTTTTTATAGAAATATTTGACCTCTGAATATGACCTTGACCTTTATTGTGCATAAAAAATGGAGACTCCTTTAAATATCAGCTCTCTACTATAAATGGATCAAAAGTTACTTTGCATTTCACAACAGACTGTCATATCGCATGTGGATGACATAAAACACATTCTAAAATGTATAGGCTCTCGAATGACCAATATATAGGAATCTCTGATTTGTTGTATTTAATATGGCAAAAGCATGTCACAGGTTATTAATTTCCTTACAAAGATCATTGATTATTGACATTTTAGTGATATTATTCTTTTTTTTCCTTGTGTTCTTATAAGAAATTAGTTAAAACAGATTTCATAGGTATTTGTAATACCTTTATTTTTATATACTTAGTACCTGGAATATTCTATCGTTAAAATCACACCGTCATATGGACCCGGGATAGCGATTCCCTTGAAAAAAGTTTTATTTTAGTACCTTATTTAACAAAAAATATCATTAATGATATTTGAAAAAAGGTGTAAATACTGAAATATCAGCTAGATAGACGGTTTTCATCATCTTCATCATCTTTTCTTGTAGCACATACATGTAGTATACTCTAACTGGATATGTCTTTATATGTGGTGAAGGGCCGGTCCCGAGGCACATCTAACCTGCAAGTGGTATGAAAAATTCACTAATTAAATGTTATCTTGTGGTTTTTCATTTGAAATAATCTTTTAAAATTCTATTCCTAATTTTCTCGGAATTCTAATACTTTTTTCTGCATGGTCTGAGTACAGTATTTGGTGGCACGCTACTTGAACAGTGGAGGGGGAAACAAACTTTAAAAAATCCACGTTGATTTATTTTTATTATTATTAATTTATTTGGTTTCAGGTGAACATGGTACTTAACTATATTCGCACTGTAAAACAAAGAAAAAGACCTATTTCTTCTTGATAATTTAATATTTGTAACATGTCTACATGTATATACATTGAGTGAATTTGAATTAGTTAGTATAGTTTTAATTACCGTTAAATATTAGACTTAAAAAAAAAAATCAGTTCTCACCTAGGCTAAAGCGTATTGCCACGAAAAGAAGGAAATCCCTTCGTTACCTTATGTCTTGCGCCGAAAATAGAAATCGTGACGTCACAATAACTGTAAAAACCAAGATGGCCCTCGAAGCTGTAGGTTGTGCAGGGATTAAGATTTGATTATTGGGATGCTCTTTACCTTTTATTAAAGTCTGTGACATATTAAAAAGATAACAAACACAGGAATTTATCCTATAAATGAATCACGGATTGAAAATTGAGGTGTTTTAAAATTCAGCAGTTCAAAGATGAGAAGAAAACACTTTCGACAGCAGGATCGCATTCGCCGTGTCTGGTTTATTTTCTGTACGGAATGCCTGAGCTTGTGAGATAAGCATTCTCTCTGTGATTACAATGCGTACGTAAAATTAAAGCCGGGATTCTTACTGGAGATTTATTTTGAATATTTCAAAATGGATTAGGAGCAGGTATCAACACTAAAACCTGTAACATATCAGTCATATGTGACACACGTGCATAATTTTGTGAAAATTTGTGAATGTAATGGAACCCATCGGCATTGTACATGGAACTCCTAGATTATGATATGAGGATGTTTTTCTCTGTGGAATGAAATGTTGTGCAGAAGTATGGGGCCTGGTGTTGAACGACCAGTACAGTGGATTAGATTCCTCCTCCTTCTCCTTGTATCAGCCCTTCTTGTTGAGGCCTGCCCCCCTTTGTGTACGTGTACTACAAGGAAACCTCGGGATGGGTCCAAAGGGAGCAAACTCAGCTCCATGGACTCTGAAGGGCAAACAAAGAGTGGGAGCCCTCAGATTGGAACTAGGGGAAGGAAGGTGGTGTGTGCTGGTAGTCTGTCAGTCATTACTTCTGTAGCAATGATCAGCAGTTTGCCACTAGACACTGTCATTCTGTAAGTTATGGTGATAAAACACAAATAAGTTGCTGATGCTTAAAAAATTGTGAATGATTTTTTTTCTTCTAAGGGTAAGAGAGTAAATACAAAAGTACTCAAGAGTACAAGAGTGGAGTTCAATAATAAACAAGCTTAAGGTTTTTAAATGCCAGATCTTGTCAATATTTGGCTGCACAAATGAATGTTTAAACGAATTTTTACTGTTGTAATGCCAACGTGTAATGGCTGTAAGAGGGAAAAACATAGGTAAACTACACAAATATTAATCAAAGAAACCATGCAGCATGTGTTGGAAACCAGTGAAAGACTTTTGAGACGTTCCCTGTGATTGATTAATGATATTACGCACCACCCAAGAAGACACTGGCTTGGGACATTTATTGTTTCTCAGTTTAAATGAAGACCACAAAGTCACACAGCCTTATCAATATCACTTGATCTGAGATGACAATTACAGTTAGTTTGTCTTGTGTTTGGCATTATACATACATGACTGCAACAGTGTATTAATTCTCATCAACATATGTACACCTCACATAATATACAACTGTACCTTCAGGGAATGTATCTTAGCCTATGGGGGAACAAGATTCCTTTACAGGAGCTATATAGGAGAATTATATTAGAAGGGGTTATCAAGATTCACATCTGTCCCAATAAAAGAGGGGGAAATGGTTACTATTACATTGCACATAAATGCAGGGTTGTCCATAAGAATTGAAATTGAAAAAGTAGAATGGGGATCTGGGGTTCCTCCCCTAACAAGGGGTTGAGGAATACCAGAGTAGCCGGGAGATAATGTCATTATAGGCGGAGGAAATTCCCCGGGTCTTGAGGACAACCCTGTGTAAATGACGTAACTTTTCATCTCTGTCAGATGAATAAATGTCAACTGACTCTATTTATCTCTTAATCAGATAATTGATAATAATTAAATTGTACATGTATTAACCATTATATGTCCTTTTTTTAAGTATTGGGAATCATAGATCATTGGGATGTGTTGTGTGTCCTCAGAAAATAATACATGAATTATGAAAATTTTGGGAAAACTCATGGAGTGACACAACATTAATATTCTAGATAATTTTTAAGATTAACATCATAATGTTGTATAATTAAGCCAATACACTTTTATTCCACATTATTTTCGTTTAATTGATTAAAATGTCTTCTTAGAACCTACAGTATGTTCGTGCATACATGCATAACTTTTAACATTTTTGAGTTCATGTAAGTTGTTTTAACATACATACAAGCTAGTTTATAAGCATCTTAAATCTTTATGTAGTGTAGAATCAGGTTTGTTCAAATCATGACCCCCTGGAGTAGGTTGGGCCAAATATAGAATAAGGTTTATTGTTTTATAGAGAAGGATTCCTAAAGATACTCTCTAAATTAAGAATAGTAGGACCATGAATTAATCAAACTGCAGATCTAATTCAAAAATTGGATTTAAACACTAAGTTAACCATAAGGTATTGACTACTGCCCACAAGAAGCAGCACATTTTCTTTATTTGACAAAAGTATAGGTACAAAGACTGTTTCTACTTAATATAATTACGGTATGATATATTCTTACAGAAATTGGAAAATTTAAGATTTTTGTTTGTCATAAACATGATAAGTAAAAATATCTAAATCTTTATTGTGTTAGATGTTACCTTTATGCTGTCCTCTACAAAATTTTGATTTTTTTTCCAATTATTTTATATAATATGTCAACTAGTTGTCAGTAATACCAAATTAGAAGCATTTCATGATAAGCAGCATTTGCTGCAGATCCAAGTCGCCACTGAGTTTATGTTGTTTTAATAATAATTATTTAATTTCTAATAAGCCGGGTATTTGTTGAGATGTCCCAAAGACAACTAACAGAAAACAACACTAAATATGTTTTAATATTTTCATTATTTCATTCTCATTATATGTAGATCTCCAAATGAACAAAAGAAAATAATAACTTGTTTATGAGATGACTTTTCACTTTTGCATATAATTTGACTTCCTCCTTATATTTATACACAAGAGATAAAAATCTTATGTACCAGCTGACTTTTCAGTTTTGTATATGGATTGATGGACTTTTAGTGTAGGAGTTGGTTTGTAAATGAGTTGGTTTGTGTACAAGTTGACTACCTGTAAATCATTCAAATCATGGCCCCTGCATGGGGCTAGGATGGAGCCAAATACCATTTAATGTTTTACATGGGAATATTTGGGAGAAAGGAAAGTATGAAAAGTGCGAGAAAACAGCCGGTCACAATTATTCATCTATAGTGATTTGCAAGCATCTTTAATGGTGTTACTATTGTATATCTATCATATCTATACAGATTTGTTCAAATTATAGCTCCTGTTATTTTGCTTGTGCCCTTTTAAGAGTGTTGAAAGCTTTTAAAAAAAAAAATTAGGTTCTCCTTCATTTAAAGTAGACCTGAACTCTGTATTTCATCCCCACTTCAACTATGTGTTAGTGTAGTACTCCTCATACTAGACAGTCTTTCTATATGATATGCATAGTCAGAGGATACTGTAAATGTATTATATTTAGCGTATATGATATTTGGCGGAAATTGATTTTTGATTGATTGATTATGTTGTTTTACATCCCGTTCGAGAATTTTTCACTCGTAGAGAGACGTCACCAAATTTAGACCTTTACTCGGCACTCAGGGCCATTGAGCAGTGAGGGTTCTTTATCTTGCTAACACCCAACGTGACACGGGGCCTCAGTTTTGAAGGTCTCATGGGAAGGACCCGCAACTTTCACTTCAAAGTGCCAAGCGCTTGGAGAAGAAACAGTTGCTACTTATTTTTTATCAACTTAGGTCAGTCGCAACCGTGATTCAAACACACAACCTTCCAATCATGGAGCAAGCGCTCTACCGACTGAGCTACCGTGACAGTTAAATTGATTTTTGAACAAGTTAGCGTAGATTTGATTTAGCACATTTCTTAGTGTTCTTATTTATGTGTATCTGTGCAAGACATTTAGTGATGTACTTAAATTAGCGGAAGTTGCTTTCCGCCAAAGGCGCTAAAAAGAATACACAGCCAAATGCAATACATTTACAGTACTCTTTAGTGACTTATTGCTAATGAGCAATCCATTCTTGTCATTGATGCTTGTATTGATCTTAAACTTTTGAACATTTTTAACCATTTGGTTTATATAATCTATGGTTGAAGGGTATGAATCACCTGGTCCTTTCTGGGGCCTTAGGAAGTGGAAAAAATCAACAAAATTACTGCATCTTTCAAAATTGTAGGATAGTAAAACAGTTGGTATGATAACAGTGGCGTATAGTCCTTACTGTTCAAAAATGTGAAGTCAAAGGACTGAATCGGAGGGGGAGTGTTGGAGGTCCTCCCCCTCCTGTTTGGGGTCACATAGCCACCAGATTTGAAAAGAATACCTCAATGCAGGCTTTTATGGAAAAGATTTTTTAAAAAGTTGCACATTGGTTTGTGGATTTGCTATAATTTATATTTTACTGGTATATGTACGTCTTGTTTTAGTACCATCAGGAAAAATTTTTTTTTTTTTTTTGCTTTCATCAAAATTTCAAGATTTTCCTGCAAACTTGAAGACATAATGATTTTCATATAACCAGTGACTATGATAATACAGTAAGGCTAAGCACAAAATTAAAAAGCATTGTGACTACTGAGCATGCTGAGACAAACCGTTTTCTTTTCAACCATATAATTTTTGAAATTTTTATATCAAGTTTATACATGTTATACCTTGATAAAATGATGTGTAGGTTACAGCATTTTTGCCTATATGGAATTTTCAAGCCCCAGAATGGGTCTAGGCTGGGTATGGTTAAAATGAAATACCAGTATATCTTTGAACATTTATTGCAACACTTGAGTATAGTGTTAGGTTCCAGGTTGAATTGGATTAAACTGAAGAAACATGGTATTTTAGAATTTTTTCTTGACCTTGGACAATTGTGTGCATGCATCATGTGCATGATTGACATGCTTTATACCAAAATTGTGAAGTTTAATTTCTGGATTCTGCCCCAGGGATGGGCTAAATAGATAATGAGAAAGTCTTTAAGGTTCATAAACCCTCTGCTGACTCATATAAAATGTTTCTTTAATTCTTATGATTTCCAAAAGAAATGTATTTACGTAAAATACAAACAATTATGGCAGAATTGGACAATAAAGACATATTTTAACTTGACAAATTTATAAAGGAATAATATAAACATTTATCTCATTAAGAGTTATCTCTCTTATCGGAGTATCAATGAGCCTTAAATCTTGGATTTTGGTCAGGCCCCAGGATCATGAAGTCAAAATTTCAGTCATTCATGAAATGAATATTTATCTTAAACAGACACTTAAAATTAGAAAATAAATAACACGAAGGGAAACAATAGTATTTCAAATTAAATGTGCTTTCTATAATGAATATTTAAGGCATCAATCAAGCAAGCTGTTTTATGATAAGCAACAAGTCTTAACAATCCTAAAATTTTAAAATTCATGGGCCCTGGTTTTGTATCAAACCCCAAGGAAGGGCTAGGTAATGGTACTGGCCATTGTAAAATGAAAATGCTTTAAAATCATAGGAAATTCTGTTTTACTCCTGGGCATTAAGCCAGCAAACTGTTTGCACGATTACATTGAGCAAAGAGTTATCTATCAAAATTGTGAAATTCATGACCCATAGTTCTGGTTCAGATCCCAGCTGTGTAATATATTGAAAATGTGTTGGATCTTGGAAATTCTTTTTGAAAACTACAAGACAACTGTTTGCATGATAATAATTTGAACCCAATAGGACTGTTGGGCATTATGCATCACCAGTATGTCATAGAGAGTCTGTAAAAACTGAGAATTTCATTATCTTAGAGGTTGAGGTCTCAGAGTGGGGCTAATTTGGTCATATGCTGAAAATGTATCTTGAAACTTCTTAGCAGAAAACCTATTTGACTAAAATGAGCAAAATCTTCTCTATTAATTAAAAATTGGGAAAATTACATCCCTGGATAAGGGATTCAACTCTTAGTGTAAGGCTAACCAAAAACAAAAATGAGGGAAAGAAATATAACAAGAATACCAGTTTATTACCGGTACCATGATTACTTTTAGAACTTTATTTTTGTGTATATGTTTCAACTTAAGGATGGCAACTCAGGTGAACAACTCATAAAAATCCACATTAATTTGAATGTCTGCAACTATCTGTCATTGTTCATGCAGTCTTAAGTTGATTTTTTTATCCATGTCACCAATCACCAATGGTGACTGCAGGCCTAATATTCACTTTGTCACACTGAAGGGGGGGGGGGGGGGTATTTCCTTGTGCTAATCTGTACCTCTGAACATTTTGATTCCAATCATTCCACATAGTTAAAACTTTGCACAGTGATTGTACACAATGAAGATGCACCTATTATTTAAGATTAATTCAGAAAAATATCATTTTCTGCTGCTGAATTTGTCATTGTTTTCAAGCCTCTTGGTATGAATAGTACACATAGTTGATTAATCTGTAATTTCACCCAGTTTCTGTTGTTAATAATAATAGTGAAACTTTGCAAAGCACAATAAAGATGTGCACTTCCTATCTCAGATTAAGTTTAAACAAGCAAATTCAAAGAATTGTGGTCCCCACTTTCAGTGTCTTAGTGGATGGGATGCCATTATTTATGGCATATTGTAACTGTCTTGTTTATGTGTCCTGTCTTGTCTGTGTATTATACAAAAAGACATACATTATTGAATTAATAACAATTATGGCAAAGATTATAGCTTCTCAAAACTACATTAAACTTCAAGATCAAGGTCATGTGGTCATATAATAAAATCCAAAATGTCTTGTCACAAGTAATGCACATGTGAAAAAAAAAATCAGAAACCAGAGTATACAACTGGAAAGGCCTTGAAGCAGTAATGCACATGTCAAATGTAAATGCCATATCTTCTCTCAATCAAAAGTTGTTAGCAGTGTTAAAATTTTTGAAAAGTAGGTCACACTTCAAGGTCAAGGTCATGGGATTAAAAAAACATAGTACATTTGAAAATGCTTGTCACAGGTAATGCACATGTCAAATATGAATGCCCTATCTTCGCTCCTTCAAAAGTTAGCAACACTGATGAAATGTTTAAAAATAGGTCAAACTTGAAGGTCAAATATCATAGCACATTTGGAAACCTTTGACACAGGTAATGCACTTGTAAAATATAAAAGCCCTATCTTATGTCATTCAAGAGAAATCACCAAAGTTAACATTTTTGAAAATTAGGCCATACATGAAGGTCAAGGTCAAGGGGTAAAAAATCATAGTATGCTCAGAAACACTTTCTCACTGGTAATGCACACGTCAAATATGAAAGCCCTATCTATTCTCAATCAAAAGTTATAAGCAAAGATATAAATTTCGAAAAGTAAGTCAAACTTCAAGGTCATGGGGTCAAGGGGGTCAAAAATCATAGTATGTTTTTGAAAGGTCTTGTCACAGGTATTGGACATGTAAAATATGAAAGCCCTATCCCTTCTCAATCAAAAGTTATAAGAAAAGATAAAATTTTTGAAAAATAGGTCAAACGTCAAGGTCATGGGGTCAAAAATCATAGTATATTTGGAAAGGACTTGTCACAGGTAATATACATATATAATATGAAACCCTATCTTTTCTCATTCAAAAGTTATGACCAATTTAAAGTAATGATAAAATTTTTGAAAAGTTCGTCGAATTTCAAGGTCAAGGTAGTGGGGTCAGAATTGATGGTATATTTGGAAAGATTTTATCACAGGTAATGTACTTGGGAAATATAAAAGCCCTATCTCTTCTCATTCAGAAGTTATGACCAAGGTTAAAGTTTTTATGACAGACAGACTGACAGACAGACGAATGAGATTGAATGTCCCCTCGCTTTCACGAAAGAGGGGGACAAAAAGATGATGATGACTTCTTAGTTCTTGATATTTGTCATTTTTACATTTTAAATGGTTACTGGTATAGACAGTTCAAAGTTTGTGTTATCTCTTACTTTGTGGGCTTAATTTCACTTGACTGTTTTCACCAGTAAAGATGTGCATCTCCCTTTTTTTAATTGAATTAGAAAAACAATGCTTTCATATGTTCATTTTTTCAAAAGACAACATGCAAAGACTCTTATTTAATACATGAAAAAAAAGACCACTGCAGATTATTCTGGGGATCAATAATTTTATGGCCAATTTTAGGAGTCAGTGAGCACATACAAGGAACCATGTGATAAATATTATGATAACATGTTTATTGACTATATTATTCCAGTTGCTTATAATGGTGATATTTATTTTGCTTCATAGTTCCTTGAATTTTGTACAAAAGGCCTAAGACAGTTATACTGACCCAATATGGTATATTTACAGGGACTTTCAAATTCATATTATCCAAACTTCTAACCTTATATTAATTTACAAGCATTCAATTTGACAATACCTCTTTACCCTGAAACTAATTCTATTACATACATGTATTTATATGTAGGAAATATTTTCTTCTTCCTTTGTTATACCCCCTGCAAACGAAGTTTGTGGGGTGTATAGGAATCACCTTGTCCGTCTTTCCATGCTATCTTGTCTGGGCTTTAACTTTGTAATGGAGAATAATTGGAAGCCCATACTTCATACAGAGATTGTTTATGATCTGAGGGTGTGTTGTGACCTTGACCCAAGTTCATTTTGGCAAGTTCAAGGTCATTGGCAGAAAAAGTATAAAATTCTTGTCTGGGCTATTTGATGTCCATAATTCACTAGAAGATTACTAATGAGTTGTAACCAGAGGATGTCATTTTTTTAACCAAGGTCTTTTTGGCAAGTTCAAATAGGCTCTTTGAAAAATTTGCAGCAGGAGGTATTAATTGGTAAGAGCTTGCTCATGGTACCTCTTGTTTTCAATTTTTATTTTTAATACCGTAATCATACTTATTTGTAATAAGTGCACTCAAAATTTACACAGTTGTCGTCTTCAGCTGTTAAACTGCAGTAGTAAATTAGCATACATACTACATAGTCTTACATGTCATGTATTAGTTTTAATCGTATAAATGTATAAGCATGTACATAAATTAGCGATCAAGAAACAATGCAAAAGGTGCTAAAATATGATTACTGTTAAAATAAGTAGCATACATTTAAATTATCTCTTTTTTTCTCTATAAGATTAACATAATCTCATCTAAATATACACATGTATATACCTCAGCAAGGGGTCTAGCCCCTCTATGACTGGTCAGTTTTCTAGTTATTAATTGCACTCCACAGAGTTGATGTGATATTTCTGTCATTGTAGGGACCTTAGCAAGAATGCCATCACGGTACTAGAGGAAGGTGGATTTAACAGAGTCTCATCTCTACAGAAACTGTAAGTACACATTATCTCTATGTACAGCAACCACTGGATAAAGTGAATACCTCTTTATTGTGAATGATAGTGATTAGGGAGAGTATGGTAAACCCAATTCTGAACTACAGATATACTGGTTGTGGGTGCATGTTTTAGAGTAAAGAACTTTTGTAGTTGGTAAGCTCACTTTAGCTGAATGTTTAAAAGTGAGCTTTCTTAAATAAAGTTTTTTTGTTTAACACCTGCTTAACTTTTCATCTTTTCAAATACTGGGCCAATTTAACTAATGTAGCAGAAAATCCCAGATGACAATATGAATAAACCTCGGGATAATTCAAAAATTTAAAAAAAAAAAGAAAAAAAGAAAAAAAGAAAAATAGGGTGGGGCATGCAAAATTTTCAATTGTCAAGAACCACTTTGTCCCTCAAAGTAAATGGTTCATTATCTTCAGTACACATGGTACAGTCTTTTTGTAAATGTTACAAAATAAATTAAGTGGAAAAAGTAAAGTCAATATTATTATTGAAAAGAATCTAAAACCAAATATTTGTATGCAGCAAATATTGATAAATCTACATTTGTATATCCAATATTTAATGTCAAAGGATGTCAGGAATACATAATTAGTTTTCAGGAAAAATCTGTACTTTGTAAGTTTTCTGAAGATAAAAGGTTCATATCAATGAAGGACAAGGCAGTCAGTTGTGTGCATATTTATATATTCAGTTAAAAAAAAAAAAAATCACATAGAGAAGTGGGTTTCTTTCAGTCTGGGATTTCATTTTATATCCATCAATATAAGATAAAATTTTCCATGTTTTATCTATCAAAATTATTTCTATTCCAACTCCAAAGACTATTATTTCAAAAATGCTTTTAATATATGTCACAGCTCTATGATTACAAAGAGGGGGAAAAAACAGCTTAGTAAACTGTTTGGAAATTAAGTCACATACAGATTACAGAGAAGTCATGAGAAACCATTAGGATGGGAAACTAATGTTTTTCATCATTTTCACGTCCTGATGGTGGTTTCTTAATTTTCATGGAAAGGCCTGTAGATGTAATGTCATTAATGGAATTAATGAATTAAAGAAATTGGGTACTTAGTAGAGCTTACTTTCCAGATAGATATTTTAGTGTTTTAAATATTTGACTTGTTAATGAGCCGACCTTACCACCTGGTATTGTTGCCTTTAATCATTTTTTAGCAAAAGCAGCTCTCTGTTATGGTTACCATGGAAATTCTTCCTTCTTCTCAGAAGTCATGTTTTAAGTGGTTTACCTTGAAGTCTGTTTGAAACTTTGTGTTGCATAGTTAGGCACTGCATGTAAAGGATGCTATAAAGATCCAGGATTGATGGAGATACGTGTCAGCTGTGCTTAAATTGCTCATGATTTTATTTTTAAACAAATTTGTTTAATCTGTGATTTTTGACATTTTCTCTCCTATTGAATGATATTTTGGTCAAAACAGTTGTTGATGCTCAAATCTTATCTTGAAATAAAGTTTAGAATTGATTTTATAAAAAGATTTGGTACATAATGTATTTAGGTTGAAGAAGAATTCTTTAATTATATTCAGAAATACTTACCTGTATAATTTCAAATATCTTTTAATTAGTCAAAGGATTATATACTCCATGCCAAAATTGAAGTGTATGTGCTTGATTAGTAAAATGTATTAAAATTTATAGCTTTTTAATGTTAACGATGATGTGAATTTGAAAAATTTAGAATTTATGTAAAAATTAATATATAGAATTTTGACCTAAAATCACTAAAATAAATCACCATAAAAAATATCCAGATTCCCTGTATAGAACTAAAACTTAGTGATAAATTAACTTCACAGTGACAAATTCCAAGATATATTTAATTAAGTACAATAGTATGATGTAAATAATGAAGGAAACTTTCTGATAAATCATAATGCATCAGTGCTCTGTATATCAAAACCAATTTGAAAGTGAAAGTGTGAAATCTTTACTACATCGCTGATCCTTATTTTTCTGCTATGATCAGAAAACATGATTAGATTTGAACTAATCTTAAATTTTACTGAATGATGGCATGGATTGTATTAACTGAATTTCTTTCATTATGATGTGAAATACATTTGAAGAAATCCAAATAAATGAAACCTAGTCATGCAAAGTAATCAAGCTCTGAAGATCAGAGATTGTGTGGTAATACAATGGAGAACATTGAGTGTTTTCAAATAATGTTTTGCCTGTACCAAACAGGTACCAATTATGAATTCACTTGAATACCATCCAAATTTGATTTTTCCATTCAGTTTTCTGATTGCCTCGGCTGTTATATGACATGACACTAACTGTAACATATCACACCCTGTATCAGCCTGAGACATGAATATCAGGACTGGGTGCAGTGTGAAAAAGAGTTTGTTTTATTATATTTATTTCCACATTTTTAGTTCTTCTGAGCCGAAAGCTTAAAGAGCTTTAGAATGCCATGGCCTGGCATGCAGTGTTCTTGAACTTCTTGGAATGTGGTGATATTTCAGGAACCTTTAAACCAATTTTTATCAAATTTGTTACAAAGTATCCTTGGGCCAAGGGCTTTCATTTATACTCATAATAGGAATGTGACCCTGAAGCAAGGGTAGGTAATTGGGGAAATACCAAAAAAGTAGTGATTGCTAAAAAATCTCATCATGAATCACTGGGCAGATTAGCTCCAAACTTACACATAAGAATAAGGATACATTGTAGATTGTTCAAGGCATCACCCTAGAGCAAAGGGTGTGGTCTCAAGGTCACTTTAAAATTGACCTAAAATGATATTTTGTGAAGACTTTGATACTTCCCACACTTAGAGGACTAGGATCATCAAATCTTGTCAGTTAATGCATCCAAGGACCTGGTTTCATTGACTCTGTAGTACATGTAGGTCATGGTGACCTACTTTTTGAATTTTACAAGTATTCATTTTCAATTTGAATTCAACATACATCATGGATACTGTGAAGCCTGTGGTCATCAAAACTTATCATTTGATGCATCATGGGGCCCTGAAGTTTGTCGACCAAACAGAGGGCCCCTGGTAGGATCCTGTATCTATAAAGCTGAATTTTGAGTCTCTGGTATGATCTCAATTTATAAATTATAATGCTGAATTTTGAATCTCTGGTATGATGCCTCTATCTATTATTTATCCTTAAACACCTCTAAGTGCACATACACTTTTTTTTCAATTCAATTGATAATTATATGAGAACATTAAAAAAAAAAACAGCGAAATAAGTGAAAAAAGTAATCCTCATATTAACGTACATAGTTTGAAATTTATACAATGGTAAAAAAACAGGGGGGAAGAATATAAAAAAATAATGTGGTTTGCGTGAGGATTGTAAATTAAACAAACAGTAAATGCACACTGAAAACTCCATTGTTGTGAGTTCTAGGGTCAGATCACCAGAACCTTTATCAGAAATCATTGATAAAATCACATTACAAAGGAGGAATATTTGTTGAATGCAGTGCACCTAAAGCTCCAATGGGCTAGGTGAAATAAGATTGATGGTGAATTCAGCTTGTGGTAGTGTAATGATTGTATGATTGACATAGCCCACCCACAGAATGCTTTACACAGCAGACTACCTTTGGTTTTTTTTTTTTCAGGAATCAATCAAGCATGACTAAGTACTGTTTGATTGATAATGTAATGTGATCTGTTCTATCTTACTACATAAGTATTTCAGGTAGTCCAGAACAAGTTTTTTGGCCCATTATTTCCTTCTTATCCTTTTGATTTATGTGTAGATCCAAATTTGATTTATTTTTTATTTTTTTGTATATTTGTTTTGTTTTGTTTTGTTTTTTGTTTCTTTGTTTTTATTGCAGGGAGAACTTAATATGACACATGTATAAGTAGGCATTAAATACACCAGCTCAAACTTTTTTTTTCCCTATTAACGACCTTATAAATAAAATTCAAACCACAGAAAGTTCCAGAGGTGTGTTTGAAATAACAAAACATGCATCAAAGCCATGTTGCTCTATGAATCTGTCTGCATGTAAGCAAGTGCATGATATATATGTTAAAAGTGAAAGAAAAAAAGGGTAATGATCTACTGGAACTTGTCAAATATTAAACCTTTAAAACTTTAAATATTCAATTGTTTGCTCAACTCATGCCTGTATTATTTGAGTCAACATATGAAAATATCAAATAAAATAACACTCCAAGCTGTATTCTGAGGACATAAATGATCACATTTTGTCTGGAGTTTGTCCTTTTGACCAGCTGTCTGTCTGTCTGTCCATTTGTAAACATTTTACATTATCGACTTTTTCTCAAGAACTACTGAGATAAGGCCACATAAATTTAAGCTTTAGATTCTCATCCTAATTTGTTTAAAAATTGGGGCAGGTGGGCAGATTTTATTTTTTTTTTTATTCATTATTAAAAATATCTACATAAATCTCTTCTTACACATAATTTTCACATTGTTAATGACAATATTGCTAGATTTTATTTTAAATTATTCTTTTAAATATTTTTAGAAGAATCTTATTCACAATGTTAGTACACACATAAGGCACACTCCACATGCTACTGCTGCTGTAAAATGGGACACGGATGCCAATAAATTGCACATGCTGTTGTTGTACGTGGTAGTCACCACTTCTCATAGGCCTTTTTCCAAATACATGTACCTTTCAGTCTGACCAACAACTTCTTTTTGTGTGTGTGAAAATATCAAAGATTTCCACTTTCTTTATACATGTACATTCAATATTTTGTTCCCGTCATGTTTGGTATTGTCATTTTGCAAAACAGGGTATCTAAAATATCTATTTAATAGTTGATGTTGCACATTTTTAAGATTTACCAGTTCCTTAGCACTTTTATCCTGTTAAGTCTGATGATGATCTTTTTTTTAAGAAATCTTTACAAAGAATTGCAAGACCACACTAAATCTTATTACTAAGCTAAACATACCTAAGGTGTGTCCAGTAGAGTTTAATATGAGCCCTAGGGTTAGAGCTGAGCTGAAATCAGAGATCCGAATTTTGTACAGGAAAGAGATCTACAAAACATCAGGATGTGTTGATTGTATTGTTATTTTAGCATCTCAATGTTGCGTTGATTTAACATTATATTTTTTGGTTTAAGAGGGAAAATTAAAAAAAAATCTGCTAGACCAAAGTGACTCAGGTAAGCATTGTGGCCCATTGGCCTCTTTTAATGCCCTCCTCCCCCTTCAATTTTTTTGAAAAAAAAAATCCCCTAACCATTTAATTAAAAACATGTTACCTGATACACTAAAGATTTCAATTTATCTTATTAGGGAAGATCATGCTGCAAATATATGTACCACATTATTATTGCAAATCTAGCTTGAAATGTACACTACAACTGAAATAGTGATATGTTGAGTGATGGAAACTCAGACTGTAATACATTTGTGAGTTGCAACAAAGAATCTGATTGGTGCAATTTTATAGGTCTGCCTTCATCCTCAAATGTGTTACCAAAAATGTGGAATATATTCCAAGGAAGATAGAAAATGGGTAATAAAGCTTGCTTACGGGGTTAAGTAAAATGTATTGACCCTTGGTGAACAGTGAGCCAATGCAATAGCTTGTTAAATTATTGTGAGTGTTGGTAAATTGTAAAATGGTCTGGCAAACCTGTGCTGGGCATATTTCTACAATTGAAAAACATGGCCATTTTCCCCCCAATTTTCTTCATCAGTACCCCATCAATAAAATAAACAAGATGTGTTTTTGAAACACTGATGCCCTCATATGGCAACTTAAAGCGAAGGTTAAACTTTCTCAAATGCAAATCAAATATGTTGGTACCCAAAGTAAGGTCTTGTCCAAATGGATTTTACCTGCAAAATATGAAAGCCCTAGCAGCAACAATTGAAAAGATATGGAAAAGGTTAAAGTTTTCAAATGTAGGTCAAACACATAAAGGTCAAGGTCAAATGTTCAAAATTAATGGTGCCAAAGGAAAGGCCTTCTCACAAGAAATACACATATGAATTATGAAAGCCCTAGCACCAACCATTTAAAAGATATGGCCAAGGTTAAAGATTTTCAAAAGTAGGTCAAACTCCTAGGTCAAGGTCAAAGGGTCAAAGTGTTGGTTAGTGTTGTACCGATAGTCAGAAAACATTGATTGTCAACGAAAAAATGCTACCGATTCCGATCATCGATTATTATTTTTCATAATCGATCATCGGAAACTTACTTCTTTTAATTGCATTCTGGAAATATACATTCTCAGTTTGAAATTTATTTCTTCGTAATGAAAGAAAATGGCCATTACAAAGCCAACTAACACAAAGCAGAGGTGATTAAGAACCAAAAGGTGCATATATAGACAGTGTAAAAGAAGCAAAACAACAAAGAAAACAATATATTATATATTTAATATATTCATGTTAAAGAAATATAACATACTTGTAATAGTCTGTTTTTTATATACAAAACTATGACATCCAAATTATAATCGGTAAAATCGCATTGGAAGCAGTAACCGATTCCAACCGATGATGGATTATAAAAATTAACTGATGTCCCATTACTAGTGTTGGTATCCAAAGTAAGGTCTTGTCACAAGGATTACATATGTGAAGTATGAAAACCCTAGCACCAACCGTTCAGAAGTTATGGCCAAGGTTAAAGTTTCCAAAATTAGGTCAAACTCCAAGGTCCAGATCTAAAGGTCAATGTTGTTGGTATCCTATTAGGAAGGTCTTGTCACATGGATTACAAATATGAAGTATGAAAGTCCTAGCACCAACCGTTCAAAAGTTATGGCCAAGGTTAAAGTTTTCCAAAAGTAGGTCAAACTCCTAGGTCAAGGTCAAAGGGTCAAATTTGTTGGTATCAGAAGGAAGGTCTTGTCACAAGAATTATACATGTGAAGTATGAAAGCCCTCACACCAACCGTTCAAAAGTTATGGCCAAGGTTAAAATTTTTCAAAAGTAGGTCAAACTCCTAGGGTCAAATTTGTTGGTATCCAAAGGAAGGTCTTGTCACAAGGACTATACAATGAACATGTGAAGTATGAAAGTCCTAGCACCAACTGTTCAAAAGTTATGGCCAAGGTTAAAGCTGGATAAAATTTTGTAAAACTGGGTCAAACTCGAAGGTCAAGTTAAAAAGGTCAAATATGATGGTACTGCAATTGTGTCAACACTCAACACATCGATATTTCAGATATTTCAATTGTAGTGTATACTTTCAAGCGAGATTTGTGATAAAACTGTAATGTATGCAATGTATTTAAGGTCCTATATTAAATTTAAGATAAGAATATTTCTTGCATGATTTCTCTTTTTGCTGTTAAAGAGGGGAAGAAAGGTCAAGATTCAGTTTCCCAAGGATCAACAAAACTACATAAACTTGATCACAATTAAACCTCAATATACTGTAAATTAAAATTTAACCATAGACTTCAAGTTGATGACTAAAAATAGAGTTAGGGGTTTCATTTATATACATGTTTACTCTAAACTTTTCAACTGATTAATGCAATTATAAATTAGCACACTTGAGTGTTACAAATAGTACTAGTTCTAATCATATGTTATTGTGTACATGAAATAATGGACAAGAAGCAGCCTGGAAGACAACCTCTACTATATGATTTATTTGTGACTTGGGTGAGCATTGTGTCCCATGGGCCTCTTGCTTTTAATTACAATTTATTTTTATGGTATAGAAGCCTTAAATTATAACATTTTTTTTTCAGGGACCTCAGTCACAACAAGATAACAATGATTAAAAAAGGTGCTTTCCTGGGCTTGAAAGAACTTGTAAGACTGTAAGTACACACCTGAAAGTTAAAGCTCCAAAACCGCTGGACCAATTTTAAAACTTGCCACAAAGCTTTTTTGGGTCAAAGTGATTCATATTTGTTCAAAAGAAGGACCATGTCCTCTTGAAAAAGGAGATGATTTTTAAAAAAAAAACAAAAAAAAACAAAAAATAGGATGGGTATCATAAAAAATATTCTTTTCAAGAACCACTGGACCAGAAAGGTAAAATTTACTCTGAAGTTTCCTGACATGTAAATTCCAATTTGTTCACATCATGGTCCCAAGGGATAGAATGGGGCCACAGTAAGGTGTGAAAGTTTTATTTGATAAAAAGGAGGAAAAATCTTCTTCTTAATAACAGCAAGGCCATGAAAGTCATACTGATATTGAAGCATTCCCATCTTTTGTGAATCCAAGGTTAAATCATAATCCCTTAGGGCTGGGTGGAGCCACGATTAAGGGTTAAATAAAGAGGGGAAAATCTTTTTTAAAATCTTCTTTTGAACAACATCAGGGCCAAGGTGATACAGGTTAGCATTGTGGCCCATGGACTTATTGTTGGCTCAGCTGAGCTGAAAGATCATGTGAGCTTTTCTGATCACCCATCAGGGCCAAGGTGATACAGGTTAGCATTGTGGCCCATGGACTTATTGTTGGCTCAGCTGAGCTGAAAGATCATGTGAGCTTTTCCGATCACCCATCAGGGCCAAGGTGATACAGGTTAGCATTGTGGCCCATGGACTTATTGTTGACTCAGCTGAGCTGAAAGATCATGTGAGCTTTTCTGATCACCCATCAGGGCCAAGGTGATATAGGTTAGCATTGTGGCCCATGGACTTATTGTTAGCTCAGCTGAGCTGAAAGATCATGTGAGTTTTTCTGATCACCCATCAGGGCCAAGGTGATACAGGTTAGCATTGTGGCCCATGAAGTTATTGTTAGCTCAGCTGAGCTGAAATATCTTGTGAGTTTTTCTGATCACCCATCAGGGCCAAGGTGATACAGGTTAGCATTGTGGCCCATGGACTTATTGTAAGCTCAGCTGAGCTGAAAGCTCGTGTGAGCTTTTCTGATCACCCGTTTTCTGGAATCTGTACGTCCATTGATCCATTTGTAAATTTTTCACATTTTTGACATCTGAAGTACCACTTGGCTAATTTTACCAAAGTTTTCACAAAGCATCTTTTGGCAAAGGGGATTCTGAATTCTATAAATGAAGGGCTAGGCCCCCTTTCAAGGGGTAATTTTTTAAAAAAAAAAAGGCAAAAAGGTCGGGATCATTAAAAAATTGTCTTCTTAAGAACCACTGGGCCAAAAAAAAGTTGAACTTCTGTGAAAGCTTCATCGGGTAGTATAGATTCTCTATAAATCATGACCCCAGAGAAGTTTTAAATGGAAATAAATAGGAAAATTTTCAAAAAATCTTTTTCTCAGGTACTGGACCCAAACACAAAAGTACTCAGGTGAGCATTTTGGCCCGTGGGCCTCCTGATTGTCATAGCTGGATTTGGTCAAGATGTTTGTCATTCGCAGAGCAAAAAGAGTATGGTCAGATAACTGCTGGCCAGCCAATATTTCACAAAATTCACAATTTATTTTTTATCCATATTGTATAAACTGCATGCAAATACATTGTTCACTATTGATGTTTCAATTTCAGGGATCTTTCACACAATAAGATTGGAAGCATCTCCAGTGCCATGTTTGAAGGTCTGATCAACCTAGAAAAACTGTAAGTGTGTTTTTTTTTTTGTTTTTTTTTTTTGTATAAACATGATTAAAGCAAAACAACATTTATGCTCACCAGTAATATGCTGCAACGTTGTATGATGTTTTTTATTATACTGAGTGGTTTTGCCCTGGTTACCTGTTCGCATTGAGTGGTTTCACCCCTATTCCATGTTAGCGTTAGTGGACTCCACCCATGTGGTTTTCTTCAAACATGCAGTGTACTTGGTGTTTATGTAAGCAAAAGTTGATTGCTCAATGGGTGTTAAGATTAACATAATTAATGAGCACTTTAATTAAATTCAATAATAAGTTGCTGATCAATACCAAATAATTATTTTCGATTTTAAAAAAAAATTAAGATCAGAAGATACAAGCAAACTTTATTTTTCAAAAATCATGAAATTAACAATTTCATCTACTTTTATAAGTAAATAAATAAATTTAGCCACATAAATTCTATGCCAAAAATCTCATCTTTTTGTGATATTTTGAATAAAGATTTACTCTATTAAAAAGTTAATATAAGTCAAACAAGGTGTATAACTGTGTAGATTGCTTTGAATACATCTAAAATTTTCCCCATAGCACACACACAAAAAACATAAGCCATTTGCCATTGCAAACTACCAAAATCCACACATGCAAAAATTTGACACCTTTAATTACTAATAACAGGTATTCCTCTGGACCAAACTACTCAAGGCAAAAACACTCAGAACGAACATGTAATAGGGTGGAACCCACCCGTTACCCCACGAAATGGCCGGGGCTTATAGTGTTTCTCCTTTACCTCCGTCACTCCGTCATTCTGTCATTGTCAATCCGTCATAATTTTCCACACTTTTTAGCTTACCTCGACGACGTCGGCGTCCCGGTTAAAGTTTTAGGAGCAAGTCCCATTCCCAAGTAACTATAAGCCCTATCTGGACCAAACTTACATGGATGATGCATGTAGGGATGGACACTACCACGCCTGCTTTGGATGCTGGATCTGACCTAGATTTTCCAGACGAGTGACCAGGTTAAAGTTTTTGGAGCAGGTCCATTCCCAAGTAACTATAAGCCGTACCTTGACCGAACTTGCATGAATGATGCATTTAGGGATGGACACTATACCACGCTTGATTTGGATGCTGGATCTGACCTAGGTTTTCCAGATGAGTTACCAGGTTAAAGTTTTTGGAGCAGGTCCATTCCCAAGTAACTATAAGCCCTACCTGGACCAAACTTGCATGGATGATGCATCTAGGAATGGACATTACCACACTTGATTCGGATGCTGGATCTGATTTAGATTTTCCACATGTGAGACCAGGTTTAGATTTTGGAGCAGTCTCATTCCCAAGTGACTATAGGCCCTACCTGGACCAAACTTTCATGGATGATGCATCTAGGAATGTACACTAACCAACCTGCTTCAGATGCTGGATCAGACCTAGATTTTCCACATGAGTGAATTTTAGCCATATTTTAACCAAATTAGCATGGATGATGTATCTAGGGATGGACACTTCCAGACTTTCTTTGGATTCTGAATCTGACTTACATTTTCCAGATGAGTGACCAGGACAATTTTTTTTGGAGTAGCTATATAATATTATGGCCTGTTATGATGAAACTTGCATAGATGGTGCATTTAAGGATGAAACTTCCAGACTTGCTTTGGATGTTGGAACTGACCAAAATTTTCTTGATTAGTAAACAGGTTAAAAGTTTTTTGAGCAGGTCTATTTCCAAGTAACTATAAGTCCTACTTAAACCAAACTTGCATGGATACTGATCTTGGGATGTACCCTAACTAGAAAAAAAATTTGATGTGAAATTTGCCTTACTTATAGATAACATTCGTCAAGGTGAGCTTCGTAATCTTTGATTACCTATGTTTTTGCTATGTAGATAATGAGCTGATTTTAAGTATGTGTTTTCTTGCTGATGACTTAAAGTTCAAGTCTGGTATTGATTGCCCCATTTTTAGCTCTAGTGGTCAGAGACCAGAAGAGCTTATGTGATAGTAAGGTGTCCATCATCTGTCCATCTGTCTGTAAACAATTTTACAAAACCCTACTCCTCCTAAAGTTTTGGTCTGATTTCAATATAACTAGACACACAAGTAGACTACACGGAGATACATAAGATAATGAATCGGTTTTTGATTTCAATGAACTGTGTTGCCATGGTTACTAAAAATGGAAATTTCTGTGAAATTACTTTAAAAAGCTACTCCTGCTAAAGTTTTGGTCTGATTTCAATATTATTTGGCATACAAGTAGATTACACTATGATACATAATTTAGTGCATCAGTATTTGATTTCGATGAACGATCTTGCCATAGTTACTAAAAATAGACATCTGTGAAATTCCTTGAAAATGCCATTCGATCCTCCTAAAGTTTTAGTCTGATTTTAATGTAACTTGGCACCCAAGTAGACTACACTAAGATACATAATTTGATGAAGTGGTTTTTGATTTTTGATGAACGGTTTTGCCATGGTTACTAAAAATAGAAATTTCTGCAAAATTTCTTTAAAACATTACTCCTGCTACAGTTTTGGTTTGATTTCAATCAAATATGGCACACAATTAGACTACACTTTGATACATAATAGTGTACATCAGTTTTTGATTCCAGTGAATTTTGTTGCCATGGTTACTAAAAATAGAAATTTTTGTGAAATACTTTCAAAACGCTACTCCTCCTTCAGTTTTTGTTTGATTTCAATATAACTTGGCACACAATTAGACTACATTAAGATACATTATTCTGTTTTTTGCTGCATGCTGCAAAGTTTCAAATGCAAGTGCTACTTTTCCTTTGTTATACGTATAGACCAGTAGAGCTACAGTCTCACCAGAGACTTCTGGTTATGAAAGTTAAGGCCCTTGGACTTTGATAATTTCTTTTGTTACAGTAATGAGTTGATTTTTAGGTCACCTGAGTCACTAATTCGATTAGTCAGCTAATTTATTTTAATCAGTAAATATCATAGGTCATCACTGTGTTTAGTTAGTTTTAATATTGATCAACTCTGTTAATATCCCAGATTTTGTCTGCAATAATCACTAACATAAAAAAGCTGTTTGTAAAGTTAAAAATAATGGATGCAAAAAATAAATAAATAAATACTGTGAAATCACTAATTTTCATTGGGGTTTAATTTTCATTGTTTTCAAGGTATGAAGAGACCCACAAATTCATGTCCACCATGAAATATAATTTTTTACATAGATTACTTTTCAACAATTCTTCATCCACGAAATCAAATCCCCACGAACCCAAACTTTATCATCAAACCATGAAAATTTGACCCCACGAAAATATGTGATTTTACAGTAAAACAGTCAAATTACATTTTTATTTACTAAATTGATTTTCCCACTATACATATTCCTTTTTGTAAAAGTGAGACTAATATCAAAAGTGAGCTCACCTAAGCTTTATGGTCGCAGAACCTGGTAGCCTAGTGGTTGGGCACTCACTTTGTAGCCAGCAGGTCCAGGTTTGATTCTAAGACATTTAACATGGGTAGTGACTGTTATTAGCAGATTTGAGACTTTTTAAAAATAATGTCAAGTGTCATGGTAGGCATTCAAATGATAAAGAACCTTGACTGCTTACAGCCTTCAGCACCATGCATAGGTCAAAATTGAAAGCTGGTGATGTCATGAGTGAAAAAATTTTCCAATAGAATGTAAAACATTTACAATCAACCAATAAAAGCAGTCCATCTTGATTAAAAATAGCTAAATACCTCTGTCTTTTGTGATTACCGGTAGATTTCATTTATGCCTATGACACAAACAAAGCAGAATTCTTTGAATCATAAAACTTTTTTTTAGTATGAAATATGTTGTAAGTTAATAAGCCCTCATCAAATGTCTCAATTAATTACCCTCACATTAACAGAGCAGTATATCATTGATATTGGTGAAAAATCTTGTATGGTACACACCTATAGGGAAATCTTTGATCCTCCAAAAATGATAGGGAGATGAAAATAATTAAAAGGTTATAAGATAATGAGAGATTTTGTATAGGTGAATCAAAACAGATGTATGTGTTCCAGAACAGAATTCCATTCACAGTCTCTCTGTGCACAGTTACTTACAAACACTATTGTACACTGTGGAAAGTTTTGCCAGATGCCTGCTTGTAAAGAAGTTTGATATTGTTTGTCAGAAATCTGTTTCCTTTAAGATCCACCGACTTGATACTGAGTATTTTATAAAGATATTAAAAAGAACCCAATTTTAGGGATTTTTGACTTTGATTGAAAAGATTTATATTGCTTTCATAATTTTTGGTTTTATTTATTGTTTGGTAGGGGGTCAAAGAAATAAATCCTTGGCCTATTGTCATTGTTTTTGTATCTCCCTGTTTGAGTGTCCAAGCATGTTACTTGAAACTGGTTAATATCACACTGAAATAACCAAATTTTTGTAAAATCCAGATAAATTTCTTTCTAAACATCTTGTGTGATTGAAATGTTCACTTGAAATTTATATTAGATATGGGAAACTCTTGATGGCTCAGACTGTGATCTTTCAAAGTTCTTGAATGGCATATCATTTAACATTTAATTACAGACAATACACAATGAAAAGTAATTCTTTGGGAACATTGGTAATATAATTTTCTTCAAATACTTAGCATATGTTGACATGTGTATTATTATTAATGCAATATACATCTGAACATATAATGATTGGGCTTGAAACACACGACTTTCTGATCAATGAGTGAGTACTCTACCAACTGAGCTACCATGAAATATCAATACTAAGAAAAAGCTAATTAATTCAATATTAATATATTGGATTGTAAGTGGAACAAATTAAAAATATACTTAAATTGAGAAACATGTGTCAATTCCTTGATTTTTATTTTGTTCTTGTGCATGAATTTATTAGCTAATTAAGCTGATTGCATCTGCAGATATCATGATATTCTTGTAGATAGAATCAGTATTTAAAAGTACACATTTCAAGTATATAGTATATATCAGTGGGATTTCATAAATTAATGTGTTTCCTCTAAAGATTTCCTTATTTTTATAGGAATTTCTCCAATAATCGGCTTAACACCATTCCAGATGGAACATTCAACAATCTACATGCTCTCAAGAAAATGTAAGTAAACCAAGAAAGGATGAGAGACCTTGTTATCTTGCTGAGGACTACATGTACTCCGTTTCTAGTGAACTCGCTTTATAGTAGTACAGCAGGCACACTTGAACACAAATGAGAAAAACTACTTGATTACACTGGGAAAACACACATTCTATAATTCTATACTCCTGTCTTTTGACGGTCTTCATTATGGTATAGGATTTCTGTATGTCTGCCTGTTCCTTCATCCTTTTTCATATCCAGGTCATATCTAGAACTCTGTAAGGCCTAGGACCCACTTAATGCATCTTTGGTGAAAGGTGTGTCATGACCCAAATGTAGGTCACTAGGGCCTTATTTGGGGGGGGGGGATGTTGTGACCCAAAAGTAAGCTTCTAGGGCCTCATTTTGTTAAGTTTATACCAAGTCAGATTGTGTCCCAGTAGTGTCTTGCACACTGAGAGGCCTGTGACCATCAGATTAGTTGATACGTGGGGGGGGGGGGGGGGGGGGGGGGTGATTGGGGGGTATATGGTGACACAATTGAGATACTTCACTAGGGCCAAATCATGTCCAGATTATCTATTGAATTCTGTCATACCTAGGGAAAACCTAACTTGTTCATTTGATGCATTTACATATATGATGTGCCATGGCTTCTTCTCAGGAACCACTGGGCTAGAAAGGATGAAACTTACCAGATAGAGTCCTTGAAATGTTCTACTTTCCCATTTTTCCATTCACTCATCGTTCATTTACCATTCAGTGTTCATTCAGCGTGCATTCACTCAGCGTTCAGCATTCACCATGCACTCAGCATTCACAGTTTTGCGTTCAGCATTCACCATGCACTCGCATTTACTGTTCACAAAGCGTTCAGTGTTTGCTTATCATTCTTTCACTTTGCATTCAGCATTCACTCATCATTCAGTCTTCATTGTTATTCGGAACTCTGAGGTGAAAGGAGTTATCTTTTTTAAGGGAAAAAGAACATGAAAGTAGGGATTACTGTTTTGAAATTTAATAATAAACATATCGTGTTTAAAGAATCAATATTTTATAGTAAACAAAATTATATCCAATATTTATTTGTACCATAGGACTGGCGGTAAATTTAGATTTTGCTTTCATGTTGCTGTGGTGTATTTGCCAGAAGAATCACAGTTTTTTTAAGTCACGCCCACCTTTTGGCATCAAGCCATACTGTGTCAAGACCTTGACTAATGAATGAATGATGTCAATTTCAAGACCAAGGCAATGGCTGATGAATGAATTAAGTCAACATTTTAAATTTCAAAAATAATAACATTATTTAGCTTGTCGGTGTCCGCTTCATAAATGGTTCTGTATGTTTTCTCCGCGTATCCTTAATCAGTAAATGATACGTCCTATCTCAAATTCTCGTCATTTTCTTTCCCGTCTCCAAATACATATAGCAATTTCACATCAGAAGTCCCCGCATTTTTTTTTACTTCCAATACCATTTCAAACTTTCATTAAAATGTCACAAAACATTTCATTTTTTTCTGTACGCCGATTGCCATAAAGAAAAAGTTCAATGCCGATGTTTCCCATATCCATCCCCCCTTTTTTCAAAAAAAAAAAAAAAAAAAAAAACGATCTAGAAAGATAACTTTTCTTTCAGAGTTGACGGCTTGAACATAATCGCTACCCCTATACCTGTACCTGACAAAAATCATGTTTTCTGCGTCTTCAACATTTCAAAGGTACAATATCTTCACACGTACCAATTCCGATTTTTTTTATCAACAACTTGTAGTAGCAGTGTCGCAGTAAAGTATGATCCTTGCAGATGGAGACAGCTATTTATACAGACTCCGTACCGTGTCTTGACACCTCGTAGTAGGCGGTGCTATTTATCAACTCGCTTTTCTCTCATTGGTCCTCTGGTACAAGTAACTTACACAATAGATATTAATTGGTTAGCTGTAAATACACTCACAGTTTTTATTCACTCGGGGCTCCGCCCCTCGTGAATGAAAAACTGTGAGTGTATTTACAGCTAACCAATTAATATCTATAGTGTAACTATAACTTGTACCATAGGACTGGCAGTAAATTTAGATTTTGCTTTCATGTTGCTGTGGTGTATTTGCCAGAAGAATCACAGTTTTTTAAGTCACGCCCACTTTTTGGCATCAAGCCATACTGTGACAAGACCTTGACTGATGAATGAATGATGTTAATTTCCTTGGCAATGGCTGATGAATGAATGAAGTCAACATTTTAAATTTAAAAAATACTAACATTAACTTGCCAAAATTCGCCTCGTAATTTTTTCCGTATTTTTTCTATGCGTTTATTTAGTAAATGATACGTTCTATCTCGAATTCTGTTTTTCTATTTTCTTTCTCCAAGTACATGTAACAATTTAACATCAGAAGTCCCTGCTTTTTTTTTTTTACTCCATAAAGCATTTCAAACTTTCATTAAAATGTCAGAAATCATTTCATAGTGTCTATCAGGGACCTATATACATGTACTAGACAGTATATATGTCCCTGTTTCTATACGTCAATTGCCATATATAAAAATTTCAACGGCGATGTTTTCCATTGACACACCCCCCCCCCCCTTGAAAAATAACGATCTCGAAAGATGAATATTCTTTCAGAGTTGATGGCATCAGTATAATACATGTAGTTTACAATCCTTACCCCTGTACCTGACCAAAAAATCATGTCTTCTGTGTCTTCAACATTTCGAAAGTACAACATCATGACATGCACCCATTCCGAATTTTTATCAGTGATTTGAAGCAGCGCCGTAGCAAAATATGATCCTTGCAGATGGAGACGGGTATTTATACTACAGACTCCGGACCGTGGCTTGATACCATGTAGTAGGCGGTGCTAATTATCAACTTGCTTTTCTCTCATTGGTCCTCTGGTACAAGTAACTTACACAGTAGATATTAATTGGCTATCGGTAAATACACTCACAGTTTTTATTCACTCGGGGCTCCGCCCCTCGTGAATGAAAAACTGTGAGTGTATTTACCAATACACTCACAATTAATTAGCCAATTAATATCTATAGTGTAACTGTAACTAATTTTTTTAACTTAACTGTTAGGTTATTTATTAAATTAATCTTAAAAATAAATCAATGTTGTCAGATATATATTTATTTAGTGCAATGCTAAAAAATTAAATTTAAATACGGCAACATACGGATACTTCAGGCGCTCAGGTGACCTATTGCTAATAGTATCTGTGTTCGTCCGTTGTTGTGCGGTGTGTTTATATTTGAACATTTTTAGCTTCTTCTATGAAACCGCTCAACCAATTTCAATCAATTATAGCATATAGCATCTATGGGTGAAGGGGAACAAAAGTTATGAATTTCATGGACCCTGCCCCCTGGGGTCTGAGGGGTGGGGCCAAAACCACTAAAAATAATGCAATTTTTAAAAATCTCCTTCTTTACTCCTGGACATCAAGCAGTCAAACTGTTGCCATGATTGTAATAAGGATTGAGCTCTCTCCCAAAATTACAGTACCCGCATCGTTATTCTTTACAGGATACACGATACGATAGGATACACGCACGATACGATAGGATAAACGCACGATACGATAGGATACACGCACGATAGGACAGGATACACGCACGATAGGATAAACGCAAAACACGATAAACGCAAAACACGATAAACGCAAAATACGATAAACGCAAAACACGATAGACCTGATAAACGATCTTCACGATAGGATAAACGCAAAACCTGATAGGATTGTTTCAAAATGCGAAACGGTTTTTGACAAGACGAAAAGTTTCCTTTTAGTAGTTTAATAATTTTAATTACTTACAAAGCCGCAAATCTAAATGATAAAATATATTAATTTTATCGTGATAAAACATTTGAGGTAATGGTGCTTTGTAAAAGATACATGTACGTTTTTTCCGTCAATAAAACTGGTCGTCATCAAATTCAAACTGTAATTATTTAAGATTAATTCCAATCTATGATGCTAATAAGGCGATTGTTTGTGTAATTATGCAAATGTCGAAATTCCATCGAATCGTTAAATTTGAATTTTGAATCGTTTAATTACGGAGATTTTAATTTATAGGTGGCTCAAAACTTCGGTAGACAAGCAAAGTTTTACACCTATGTGCAATAGATTCACGAAACGCTATAAATATATTCATTATTTTAACAAATGAAACCTTATGAAATTCATAACAAACATTGATTATTTTTATGGAAGAACTCCATGTAAAAAGTGAAATATTTAGATTCAACATCTTGTGCTAGAAGTCTGAGATGTATCCAAAATCACCTTTAATAATCTGTATTTAATAATTCAAATCTTACCAAAAAAAATACTTGTTATAATGGGGGGGGGGGATTCGAAAAAAAAAAATCATCATTATTATTTAATGTTAATGCTTTCTCCTCAAAGTTTTTAGGAACTTGTTTAAATTTATATTTTATATAAATTAATTCTATTTTTATTACGTTTTAAACACATGACTTGCTGAAATTACTAGTTGCTTTGACACAGACTGAGCACTGGACTGTGATTAAATAATCTCTCCTATATATAAATATATATGTTACACATATCCCGTGCACATAAAAAGTATTTACATATTCCAAGTACATACATTGTATAAAATTATGCATATATGTGGAAGGAGACCGGCCGAAACAAATCGAATTCAGTAAAATTAATAAACGTCACTAGATCTGTCATCATCTAGTATCTGGAAAAAAAAATACCGCATTTCCATTCTTTTGTATTTATTCTCTGGTATTTCTAATACTATAGGCATGTAAGATTAAGAAGGGAGCATGCAGTCGTATATCTAAAAAAGTTACAGTGTACCAAGATGTGTAGTATACAGTAGAAATATAATGATAATATTGCCCATCAACATTAATAATGTCTTTAGCCTCTTTTGTTTGCTTTTCAAAACATTTCTTTTTAGACCCCTGCCCCCAAAGAAATGAAATTGCTTACTATGCATGCCTGTGTTATAACCATTTACAATAACAGAATTTGTATCTACTATAGACGCGTGTATGCTAAACTTACAATGTATGTGTATATATTTATTGGGTACTTAAACTTTGTATTAAATAAATAACATTGAATTATTACATACTCTTGTATACAACATATTAGAACATACACAAAAAAAAAAAAAATATAAATTAATTTCCACAATACGAAAAGAGGATTTTCGGACTGAATAATTGTAAATTATTGCTATTAGACTTTCTATTAATTGTTACAAAATTTATCTTATATAGAACTACATCGGCAAAATTAGACAAAACTTTGTAATAGATTATGAAAGTCTTAATCCCACTTGAGGCATAGTCAGCGGGGAAGAAGGGGGGGTGGGGGGGTGGGGGGGGTCCATAACCACTCAAAAAAAAAGATCCGATTCAAAGAGCATCAAATAAATAAATAAATAGATAAATAAATAAATAAATAAAAATATATATTGACTTCTTGAATATAGTCAAATATTAAATACAATCGATAAACACTAATACAAGTATTAAATTCAGGGTATTTACTCGTCTTGTGTATCACGGCAGATCCGGGCGATTTCTTTTAATTTTTTTACATGTATCTTTGAGGCGCCTTTAATAAGAAAAAAATCGTGCGAAGCAAAGTTCATATTTTTCTGCTAAGAATTATTTAGCATATTCTTCGATTAGTAGAATGTTTCTTTTTTATTTTACATAGAAAACCTGAAGATCCGGAAGTACCACAAGCGCATCTTTTTTATTTGATCACACCAATAATGTTTAATACTGTAAACCTATAACAATTATATAAAAGTATACAAATGAACTAAATCAACGGAGTTTGGGGGACAAAACTCACCTATATTTTATTTGATTCATTTATTAAATTTTTTATCTGTAACGGAAGTGTACATTTACCAATTTTCTTAGTACAAAATCTTTAACTGTAATTAAGTGTTGTTCAAACGATATCCAGAAAATAAGAAGATGCATTTCATTGAAACCTAGTAGGATTCAAGGTAAATACCTGACACCAGGTGAGAGAGGAGTTCAGGTATGTCGACGTTGAATACACACAGGCCAGTCATGTAGGGGGATAGGGGGTGGATTCTTGAAATGACTTACATGTAATAATGATGCTGATATTTTTTTATTTATAATTTATTTTTGCACAGACACTTACAGCTTTATGTTTCTATAATTATCAAAACAAAGTTAATAAAGGTCTTGCTTTTGTGACTCTGACTGTGTAAGGGTATTATAAATCGAAAAAATTCAAGAAAAAAAATAACGAATGAATAGTACACTGTAGAAGGATTATTTCATTTCCAAAAATAGAATTTGACTTTCGATTTACACTCTCTGCTTGGTCACGGTTCTTGACGTTTATTAATTAATTAACTTTTATTTATTTAATATTTATTTATTTATCTATTTATTCATTTTCTTAAACAAATATATCAGAGTTAGAGTATTAATTTGTGTTTCTGTTCAACAGTTAAATTAATCCTTAATAAATTAACAAAACGAAAAATGAACTCGGGATACCTCGGGTGTTTCTTCTCAAGGTAAAGATAAGAAGCGAGGGTTTCCGAATGCACACGAGAAATGCAAAACACGATACACGATAGAACCTGATAAACGATCTTCATGATAAACGCAAAACCTGATAAACGGAAAACACGATAGAAAACGCAAAACCTGATAAACGGGAAACACGACACGATAGGATACGATAGGATACACGCACGATACGATAGGATACATGCACGATACGATAGGATAAACGCACGATTGGACACGATAGAATTGTAAAGAATAACGATGCGGGTACTGTATGAAATTCATGGCCCCAGGGTCAGGGGTTCTGGTGCTAAGGTGGGGCTCTATTGAATATATAGTCAAAATGCATTATTTCTTTAAAAATCTTCTCCTCTGCTCCTGGGTATTATGCAAACAAACTAAATGCATAGTTATGATGAGAAGGGTTGCCTCTTCCAAAAATATGAATTTCATGGCCCCTGGGTCAGGGGTTCTAGTGTTAGGGCGGGGCTTTAATGATTATACATAGTGAAAATTTATTAATTCTTTGAAAATCTGCTCCTGGGTATTAAGCTGATGAACCAAGTAATAGTTATGATGTGGAGGGGGGCCTCTTCTAAAATTATGAATTTCATGGCCCCTGAGTCGGGGTCCAGTGTTAGGATGGGGCTCTAATGATTATATTGTGAAAATGCATTTATTCTTTGAAAATCTTCTTCTCTACCCTTGTATATAAAGAAGATAAACTAGGTGCATGATTATGATGATCAAGGGTGCCTCTTCCAAAATTGTGTATTTCATGGCCCCTGGGTCAGGGGTTCTGGTGTTAGGGCGGGGCTCTATTGATCATATAGTGAAAATGCATAAATTCTTTAAAAATCTTTCCTCTCCCTCTGTATGAAAATAAGATAAATTGGGTGCATTGTTATGATGATCAAGGGTGCCTCTTCCAAAATTGTTACATTTCTGGCCCCAAGGTGAGGGGTTCTGTGTGTGTGTGTGGGGGGGGGGGGGGGGGGGGTCTATCATATTGATTTTATAGTGAAAGTGCATTATTTCTTTAAAAATATTCTCTGCTCCTAGTTATGATGAGCAAGGGTACCTCTTCCAGAATTATGAATATTATAGCCTCTGGGTCAAGGGTTCTGGTGTTAGGGTGGGGCTCTATTGATCATATAATGAAAATGTATTAATTCTTTAAAAATCTTCTTCTCTCTCCCTGCATATAAAGCAGATAAACTAATTGCATGGTTATGATCATCAGTGGTGCCTCTTACAAGATTGTGAAATTTGTGGCCCCAGGGTGAGGGGTTCTCTGGGAAAGGGAGGGCTCTATTGATTATATAGTGAAAGTGCATTATTTATTTGAAATCTACTTGTCTGTTCCTGGGTATTAGCAGATAAACCAAGTATATACTTAAGATGAGCATGGGCAACTCTTTCAAAATCTTGGCCCCTGGGTCGGGGGCATTGGTATTAGGGTGGGGCTATATTGAATCTATAGTGAAAATGGATTGTTTCCTTGAAAATCTTCTCTGCTCCTGGGCATCTAGGAGGCAAATAGAGTATAAAAAGTTGTAATAAGCAGGGATGTTTTTACCAGATTTTGAAATTCTGTACCCTTTGGTCAATTTATTAATTTCTACTGAAAGAAGTTATTCCCCTTTGTTATTCACCTATAATAGATCATCACTGTAAATAATGTAACTTAAAATGTCAATTGAATAACAGAATTATACAAGAAATTTTTATAATATTTAATATAAAAGCACATTCATAGCTTTTAATAGTCGGGAAAAGTTTTAAATAATAGATAAATGAAAATGGTACAAAAAGGCCAAAATCTTTGAACAATAAATAATCTTTAAAGAGCAAGGGAGGCCGTGCAATGCTAGGGGGAATGAAATGTGTTTACCGATAGTGCTCTAGGTCTTAATAATATCAATTGGCTAACCTATATAGTTACAGTGATGGAAGGATTAAAATAGAAATGTCACATACATGTATATATTATTGCGTAAAATTTTTAGAAAGTATGTGTATTTATGCGACACATCCACAAACCTTTGTAAAATAGTTTTAATTGTGAAATTTTTTTCTTTTATTATTATATTAGCGTTGTGGCCCATGGGCCTCTTGATTTTATCAGAATTTTGTTTTACCAGCTCTTCTACAAACCTTAGTGATATTTCCTTTTCAAATGTTACATAATGAGTAATCGATGAAAGTTATTTGTGCATAAAAACAAAAAAATTTTCAAATGCCTTGTATGGTTTTGGTAAGTTTATTTCTTATAATTTAACAGTGATTTCCAGTCTGACTTTCTGAGATGTGATTGCCATCTTCAGTGGATCGTCAAATGGTCCCGCGACAAAAACGTCAAAATACAACAATCAACCACCTGTGGTGTGCCTAAAGACCTGAAAGGGGTCTCCCTCAGAAGCCTAAAGAAAAAGGATCTTCACTGTGGTTAGTAAGAAAATAAGACTGTTCGAAGGAACTTATGTGTCTTCAAAAACTTCTCAAGGAATATATAGGAAATATCTTCAAAATTTTCTCAAGAACACCCAAGCCATAATTAGTCATATTAGTATAGCAGCATCCTCAGGTAGTGTAGATTCAAGTTTATTCAAATCATGACCCTCAGGAGTAAGGGGGGGGGGGGCACAACATAAACACATTGTGTTTTATCATTGAAATGATGTTGTTCTAGATTTTATATATAAAATTTGTAGAGTATGTCTCATTGTATCTGCAGATTTTTTTTTTTTTTGCCTATAAACTTCATGAAGATTTTTTGGTCACTTGGTCAAGGATCAAGGTTGGAGGTTAAGATTATTGATATGGCCATTGTGATGCAATAACTTGAATATTTTGTAACTTATGGATTTCTTACTCACTAGATGGGAAGAGAATTGTGCTTTTGGAAAAGACATCTTTAGAGTTTAGAATCACTAGGTCAAAGATACAATATAAAAAAAAACAACATTATTGATATACGCTTTCTGCAAGGCACTGTATAACTTACCCAGATTTCTACTCATGAATTGTGTTAAATACTGTCATGTATAAAGACTATATACAGTGAGACAAAATATTTGTTATAAATAGTACCTACGTTTATATTTTTAGATCGTCCCTTAGAGCTACCAGAGTTTGAGATCCTCCCTAACAAGAGCCAAGTGGTGTTCGAGGGGGACAAAATCCCCTTGATCTGCCGTGCTTCCATCATCAATAGGAAAACGCGTATGGTATGGATGCGCCGTGGAGAGGTAGTATCCACCAACCGCAGCATAGGGATCTTTGTCATTACAGAGAAAACTCCAGATCAGACAACTATGATCCACACACTGATGCTCCAACACTTGACAGAAGGGGATTCTGGGGTGTGGCAATGTATGGTGACTACCCCTCAGGGAAATGTCTCCACCAATATCAACATCCTGGTGATTTCCAACAATGCAGCTACATGTCACTCCAAAACCTCCAAAACAAAGAAGGGTGTGTACAAATGGCCACGAACTGTGGCAGGGGTTATCAGTGATCAGCCATGTAAGAGGGGGAGGGGGAGGGCCACCCACCGATGTAGTGAGAGCAGTCAATGGGAGAAGCTGAATGTAAACCAGTGTGAATACCTGGAAGACTTGACCAGAAAACTTGAGGCTTATGCCCATTTGAAAAATGTGAGTGACAGAAAAAAATAATATAATTAGGACTAATAATACTATATTACTGACATATTGGTAAGAGATTAAAGCTAGAGGATTAGGAGTATTCATTGAAGTATGACATCATCTTTCTTTATGTAAAATGCAAATACTTTTGCAAGTGATAGATTTAATTTAATTTAAACAATATTCAATTCAGTATATTTATACATAGTATAAACAATTATCCACCCAATGGGACAGCAGGCAAAGCCTAATCTTTTGAGTCTTGGTGTTTTCCTATTAAGTTGACTTTTTTCCAATGAACTCAATGGAATTATGGCTTTTTTTTTCTCAGAAGCCCATGAACCAGTCCCAGTTTACAAGGATAGCAGATGATTTGATGAGAATCATTTCTGTGTCAGAGAATTTGAAAGATTTGACCCATTTGATTCTGTCAGCTCAAATTGTGGAAAATCTGGCCAAAAACTTTCCAGAAAAGAATCAGGTGAGGCCATCATTAAAAATATCTTTGTTTCCCCTAACCCGACCCTAAAATCTCAAGTTGGGTAGGTAGGTAGGTAAATAATTTTTTTTTCTGACAGCAGCTTTGAAAATATATTTTGAAATTTAATGGAATAATACCTTTATAAATAAGAAAAGTACAAAAGAAAGCAATTTGTAAACAGAATTTCATACAAACGCCGTTTAAAAGCAAAATATAAGGTGAATTAATTTACAACTATTGTTCGATTGAACTTGTAAAATATCTGACACCAGTGTAAATTTATTGAAATCAAATATTTAAAAGACAAGATTCTTGGATACACAAGGACTGGAAATCTTAGTATATTTTTCAAACCTACTGTCGGGTTCCAGTGCTTACACATGCAATGTACATAATATCAAGGGCTTCGAATTGTGCAGTGGTCTAGAGCATTTCCTTTTGGAGTCCCAAAGTAAGGAGCTAATTTAAATTCCAAGTGGTAGGTTCAAATCCGAATGCGGGACTTTGAGACCAGTCTTTCGAATGAGACCGTAAAGATTAGGTCCAGTGTCGCAGTAGATGTTGGCACGAAAAAGGTCCCTCACCATTAATGGCTAAAAGTGCCGAGTACAAGACTAAATTTGAAGCCCTTCACCGGGCTAATGTTCAACAATTCTCAAAGGAATTTAAAGCAAAGAAACAACCAATCTTCAAGGCGCTAATTAAAGATAAAATGCACTGGACGTCTCAAGAAGCTGTATCATGATTTCAAAATATTTGGAAAGAGTAAGTAAATAATATTTAATGGAACAGAACCATATCTAAAAATGATAAAAATGTCATACACAATGTCAAAGTCACGAAGTTTAACCCAGTAATAAAAGGCATGAAAGAAAGGAACATCTAAATTGTATTCATCACTTATTAAATATGCAGACATATTAACAACAACTCCTATGGTCCCATATAGTACACATAGGAAAAGAGATGAAATGTTTATTAGATCAAAACTCAAATTAAATAAAATACAGTGAAATTGATTGATGTGTTCACAAGGAAGATGGGCTTTACCATGTATCGTGGATACTACATACCTTAATTTTAAAAGAGAGGTTAGTAAATACAAAAGAAACAATCGTAATTAGTCGTGATATATTTTATTAGCAAAATATTTGAAGAGTGTAGGATTCTAATAGCGAGCACAGCGAGCTCAATAGACTAATGTGTAAGAACAGAGGAAATTCGGAATGACATATACATCAGGCAAATTTTAGTGTGAAACCTTCCCAGAATCCCCTCACTACCAGGATTCCATGCGATAATGGCGAATATAAAAATAAAATATAAAACGCCTGCTGTTTGCTGAGAGCTTAAAATTAACAAAAAATAATTGATTTACTCTACAACGTATTTCGTTAAAAATTGCACTAGGCCTGCAGTCTCCTTCAACCAGACGCTCGTCTGTCTCTGTAAATAACGTCACAGTCTAGACTGTGTTTCGTGCGGTTTGGAAGTTTGAAGAGGCGGATCAAAGTATACAAGTGTAAGCTGTGTAAATGTTTTTGATGGTACAACTGCGCTCACCCCAACGGTCACACCGTAAAACATATTAACTAAAGGCATAAGGTTCATACATCGCCGTTATTTTTAACTCGAACTAACCTTCTTTGACTAGGTGTTGTGGGCGCCATTTTGTTTCCAACAAACGCTTGAAAATGAAAGTTAACAAAATCCGCCGTGCTGATAAAAACGGATTTTGATGAAATTGTATTTTCATTGATAAACATTTAAAAAAAAATTCTGGAATTATCTTATTTAAAAAACTTTTCAGTCGGCGCGATTTAATTGGGTCGGTCGCGTTAGGGGAAACAAAGGTATTTTTTATTTTGGCCTGAGTTCACATCTACTTATGAAAGAATTGTGCTTTTTTGATGACTCTAAATGTTTCATTGTGAAATGCTTGTGCCTACATGTAAATCTGTGGCTGTCCTTTCTTTGGCCTTATTTTGAGATTGATTTTCCTCCTCTGTAAAAACAGGTGGCGGTCATGCTGAAGTTAGTTAGTACTCTGATGAAGGAAGGAAGCACTAAATTACAAAAGGCTCAACTCCAAGACAGAACCTGTTCCAGGCAAGACATGGATATCAATTAGAGAGGGATAACTCATACAGATTTAGAATATCAACATCAAGCACATTTAATTTGCATTAAAGATCTTACAGGGTTTACATACAGTTAAAAATGTGTTGTCCTTTATTGATGCATTTTGTTATAATTGTAGGTTAATTGATGCGATAGAAGAAATTCCCAAACATGTCAATGTGTCAGATTATACAGAGAATATTGTCATGGAAACAATGAATCAGGGCATTGAAGAGTTCCAGGGTGTGACCTGCATGGCTTATTCCCAGATTTTTAGCTGTCAACACAGATACATCAATCAAACTATTGCAGAAGAGGTTTGTTGCTAAACAATTTCAAACAGTTTCTCTAATCAGCTTCACAAATTCAAAGATGGCTCTTGATAGACAGGAGTGGGGTTTTTTTTTGTTCAAATTGAAGATTTCTTATTGGAGTTATGATTAAATTAAACATAAAGGTGATCTTTCACTCCACCACACTATTAATGACCAGGTATATATATAGCATTTGTCATAGTTTCACATTTTCGACTTCTTCTCAAGAACCATTGGGCCAATTTCAACCAAACTTGCCACAAAGTATCCTTGGGTAAAGGGTATATAAGTTTGTTCACCTTCTTCCAAGGGGAGGTAATTATGAATTAGCTAAAAGTTAATGGCATCTTTTAAAAAATTTCTTCTCAAGAACCACTGGGTTAGAAAATATGAAACACTTAAGTGGAATCATCCTCAAGTAGTGTAGATTCAAGTTTGTTCAAATCATGACCCCTGGGGGTAGGTTGGGGCCACAATGGGTGATCAAAGTTTTACATAGGAATACATAGGAAAAAATCTTGAAAATCTTCTTCTCAAGAACAACAAAACCATGAATAGTCATATCGATATGGAAGCATCCTCAGGTAGTGTAGATTCAAGTTTATTCATATTATGACCCCCAGGGGTAGGGTGGGGTCACAATGGGGGATCAAAGTTTAACAAAGCAATATATAAGTTAAAAAAAATCGGGAAAATTCTTCTTCTCAAGAACAGGAAAGCCATGATAAGTCATATTGATATGGAAGCATTTTCAGGTAGTATAGATTCCAGTATGTTCAAAACATTACCCCCGCGAGTAGGGTGGGGCCACAGCTGGCGGGTCAAAGTTTTATATAGGATAAAATCTAGAAAAAAATTCTTCAGAACAGGAAAGCCATGATTTTTTTTATATTGATATGGAAGCATACCATGCTCAGGTAGTGTAGATTCAAATTTGTTCAAATCATGACCCCCAGGGTAGGATGGGGCCACAATGGGAGATCAAAGTTTTACGTAGCAATATATAGGGAAAAATCTTCTTCTCATGAACAGGAAAGCCATGAATAGTTAAATTGATTTGGAAGCATCCTCAGGTAGTGTTCAAACAGGGGGAGGGGGTGCAATGGGGGATCAAAGTTTTACATAGGAATATATAGGAAAAAATCTGCCAATGAAGAACAGGGCCATATTGATTCAGGTGAGCATTGTGGCCCATGGACCCCTTGTTTATGATAAGTTAGATTTTTAAGCTCTAGTTTTTTAATTTTGTTTAGTTAATTATGTGAAAAAAATTGCTTTTAAAGTGTAAAAAAAACTTGATTTTACTATGCTGCATGAAATATTGCACAATGAAAACCTCAGTCAGCCCCCTTAAAAAGTCTCAAAATGAAACTTGAAATTGAAATCTTTTTATGCAATTTTAGCTCACCTGAGCCGAAGGCTCAAGTGAGCTTTTCTGATCACTTTTGTCTGGCGTCTGTCTGTCTATCTGTAAACTTTTAACATTTTCAACTTCTTCTCAAGAACCACTGGACCAATTTCAACCAAACTTGCCACAAAGTATCCTTAAGTGAAGGGGATTCAAGTTTGTCCAAAAGGGCCACGCCCTCTTTCAAGGGGAGATAATAAAGAATTAGTGAAAAATTAATAGCATCTTTTAAAAATCTTCTCCTCAAGAACCACAGGGCCAGGAAAGATGAAACTCATGTGGAAGCATTCTCAGGTAGTGTAGATTCAAGTTTGAACAAAGCATGACCCCTGGGGGTTGGGCGGGGCCACAAAGGAGGATCAAAGTTTTACAAAGAAATATATAGGAAAAACCTTTAAAAATCTTCTTCTCAAGAACAGCAAAGCCATGATGAGTCATATTTATATGGAAGCATCCTCAGGTAGTGTAGATTCAAGATTGAACAAATCATGACCCCTGGGGGTAGGGCGGGGCCACAAAGGAGGATCAAAGTTTCACTTAGAAATATATCGGAAAAACCTTTAAAAATCTTCTTCTCAAGAACAGCAAAGCCATGATGAGTCATATTTATATGGAAGCATCCTCAAGTAGTGTAGATTCAAGTTTGTTCAAATCATGACCCCCAGGGGTAGGTCGGGGCCACAATGGAGGATCAAAGTTTTACATAGAAATATATAGAAATCTTTTAAAAAATCATCTTCTTGAGAACAGCAAAGACATGATGAGTCATATTTATGTGGAAGCATTCTCAGGTAGTGTAGATTCTATTTTGTTCAAGTCATGACCCCCATGGGTAGGGTGGGGCCACAATGGAGGATCAAAATCTTAAATAGAATTATATAGGAAAATATCTTCTGAAGAAGAACTGCAAATCTATGATTAGTCATTTTGATATTGAAGCATCCTCAGGTAGTGTAGATTCAAGTTTGTTAAAATGATGACCCCCAGGGATATGGTAGGGCCACAATGGGGGATTGAAAATTTTACATAGGAACACATAGGAAAATATCTTCTTCTCAAGAATTGAAAATCATGTTTAGTCATTTTAATATGGAAGCATCCTCAGGTAGTGTAAATTCAATTTTGTTCAAATGATGACCTCCAGGATAGGGTGGGGCCCAAATGGGGGATCGAAAGTTTTACATAATAACATATAGAAAAAATATTTCTTCTCAAGAACAGAAAAGCTATGTTTAGTCATATTGATATGGAAGCATCCTCAGGTAGTGTAGATTCAAGTTTGTTCAAATGATGACCCCTGGGATAGGGAGGAGCCACAATGGGGGATCAAATTTTTACAAAGGAATATATGGAAAAAAAATTTTGAAAATCTTCTCAAGTACAACAAAGCCATTTGTTATATTGACATGGAAGCATCCCCCCCCCCCCCACCCCACCGTAATCTTTTCAATACTGAACTGATTTGTGCTTTTGACTAGCCAATGTACTCAGGTGAGCGATGTGGCCCATGGGCCTCTTGTTATTTCATGCAGCTCAGTACGATACAAAGTTCTTTGAAGTCTTAGAAAGGGTCTTAGAAAAACCTGACATTTGTACCCTATAAAAGTACAAAAATAAGTACAGTTTTAGAGAAATTGAATTTTCTTGAATTTAGCCTTAATAGATACCAATTCTTATTAGCATGATATGAAATAAGAAGTGATCTGTGACGTCTTAAAATGATAGAACAAGCTTTTTACATTATGTATTATATAATAATTGAAGTAAAATACCAAAAAAGTATTTTAAAAACATGCAATTTTCTCTGAATGCCTAAATACCTATAGTTTTTTTTTTATCTTAAAATATATTTGTTGATCAATTTTCAATGAGAAAATACATAGCTGGTGTTTTTATTCGCATTTTGAGATTTGATAATTTTCCCTATATAACATGATTAGCTATAATGATTAAGTTTGAAGAAATACCATGGGTAAATACACATTACTTTGTGAATTAAGAGACATTTCTGTGAGCATTTTTAATTATTTAAATGCTGATTTTATGAACCTGAGGATCAGACTACCTTAAAATGAATCAGATAGTGTTTAGATGAATTACCTTGTCCAAATGCTATTACACTATGAACCTATATACATATAAGTTAAATAATTAAAGATGTAATTAATTTGCATATTCTTCCACAGGAAATTGAAAGAGAATTTTACTCGGCCTTTCTTTCAATGTAGTGAAAGAATTCTGCAAATTCTGTCAAGCTAATATATCAGATATAGACAAACTTCATTTAATGACCCCCCCCCCTTCACTAGAGTGACAGTCATATATAGAAATTCACCTCAGATTTTAAGGAGACCAAGGAAAAATGACATGGTAATTATTTAAGTAATTGTTGTTGAATGACAGGGCAGGAAAGACAGGAATTAGGAGACATTTTGTTTGCCCTTTTCACTTAGAATGTGATCAGCCAAGCATGAATGACCCTTTGAGTTTGACGTTTTACCTGTCGGGGGTACATGGTTCAGATTTATCAAAAGATAATGGACGGGAAAAGTAGCTGGCAGTGGTGGTGTGTTTTTGTTCTCGGTGAAAGGATTTATTAACAGCTTGACAGCAAGAAAATGGGAGGAAAATCACGCTATGTAGCTAATGATCTGTAGATGGAGGTTTATATTCCAGGAGGAAAATGTAATTTTGATATGAGGTGTTTGGAGTTTTCGTTGGTAGAGTGAGATGAATTTAGCCATGTGTTAATTGTAAGTGGACAAGGTCAATCCTTATTTGATTCCATCTGATTTTGGACTACTATAGAACAAACAAGGGATATGTCAGGGGTGCAGTCTCAAGGTAAACTTGTAAAGAATTAATTCACGTGTCAGTTATGCATGTCTTCAATATGATTTGGCATTGTAGCAATAATTAAATGTACAATTTGGAAATTTTTATTATACTATTGAAATTATTAAATGTCAGTTTTGATACATTTGTTGGATTTTAAAACAGCACATCCTTAAAATATTGATTGAATTTTTCCATTTATGACTGACATAACTCATGCAGGAGATAAAACATCTGTATATTTTGATTGCAAACCCATTTATAGTTCTGATGGTGAGGGGAAATGCAGAGGAGGTTATGTCGGTGAAGCTATAATATAATAATATATTTTATTGCCAGCAAATTTTGCTTGCAATAGATAAAGTTATTAATTACATCAGTAAATATCTAATATACATTAATTAGTGTTTCAGAATTTGATACCAATGCATGTATGCTGCGAAGTTCTCATATAAAATATATTGCCCATGTTATCAGTAGAGAGAGAGTCGGAGTGAACCACAATGTATTAAAATTTCCATGGTTGTATTCAACTTTTACTTAACATCTTTCCCAAAATTATACTTGGAGATGTTATATATCTGGTTTACATACTAGGAGATGATTTCAGTTTATACCTCATTAACCTAAATATTTTTCAGGAAAGCCTTGTTTTCTTTGCATCCAGAATGTGCGTGGATATGTATAAGTAACAATGTGATGAGGTTTTATACATCACTGAAATCCTGGGATGTTTATATTTAGATCTAGCTCCACTAAAATGAAGATTTAAAAACTTCATTACTTTTCCTTAATAGAAACAAAAAAAACCAACATTCATGCTCCCTTCTACATAAATTGTACATGACTATCACAAGCAAGAGATTTTTTAAAATCTCACTTTATTTAAATGTTGCAAAGAATGAAACAAATAAAGATATGATAAAATGTGTGTTAATGGCAAAAGTTTTCATTCAGTCTAGCTTCCAAAGTTCTTGTTGAATATGAATGTCTCCATACAAACATCTTTTGAAAATAATTGATATTTGTTGATTATTGTTGTGTAGTATTTTGTTATTTTGACTGACATTTCATATTAATTGTAATAGGGCATTGTTTTAATACTTAGACTAAGGAATTAATATTTTCATCTTCTTCTCCAGAACCACTGGGCTAATTCCAACCAAATTTGACAAAGAGTATCCTTGGGAGAAGGAGATTCAAATTTGTTCAAATGAAGGGCCACACACTCTTCCAAGGGGAGATGATTAAGTGAAGATTAGCTGGGGTCTTCAAAAATCTTAAGAATCACCAGGCCATAAAAGATGAAACTTATGTGAAAGCTTTCTGATATAGTGAAGATTCAAGTTTGTTCAAATCATGACCCCTGGGGGTAGATGGGGCCACAGAAGAGGATCAATGTTTACATGGGACATGTTATATATTTAAAAATCTCCTTCTCAAGAACAGCAGGGCCATGATTAATCATATAACATGGAAGCATCCTCAGATAGTGCAGATTCACATTTTTTTTTTCAAATCATGGCCTATGGGGGATGGGGTGGGGCCACAATAAGGGATTAAATTTTTTTCTTTAGGGAATATAAAGAAAAATCTTTGAAAAAATCTTCTTCTCAAGAACAGCAAGGCCATGATTAGTCATACAAATATGGAAGCATCCTCAGGTAATGCATATTCAAATTTGTTCACTGCCAAAATGGGAATTCACATAGTGTGATGAAGGTAAACAAACAGTGCTCATTCATGACTGCATGTTGTGCTTAATTTTATATGACAAACATGCTAAATTTTACATGACATACATATGTACTAAAATTGGTATGACATACATACATGCTAAATTTTATATGACATACATATTATGTATTGATTTTTTTTACTTACATCAGTGCGATTTTTTTTAATACATGCTAAATTTATATGACATATTATATGCTAAGTTTTATATAATGTACATACATGACTATATACATGTAAGTGCTAAATTTTAAATGTCGAGGATCACTTCCATGTGTTAAATGTTATGCCCTGTTCACACGGAGAGTTTAATTCGCAGTAAATTAATGCGAAGTAAAATGATGCGAATTAAACTAATGCGAATTAAATTGCGTTCACACGACAGCTAATGCGAAGTAAACTAATGGGAATTAAAATTTTATTTCTACTATAAGGCTATTCAGTAAGGCTATTATGACGTCATTTGCAAGTCACGTCACACTGTGCAGAGCAGATATACATTTGACATAATTTCATAGTGTCTGTACAGTTTTTAGTGATTAACATAGTTTTCCTTTTTTTTCACTCAAAAATAATGCAAATACCTATAATTGACCACCGACATGTGGCATGTGACTTAATTCTGCCCTTACGCATGCGTCAAAATTTAATTCGAATTAGCTTCGCTAAGCGTTCACACGGAGCTAATGCGAAGTAATTTAATGCGCAGTAAACTAATTCGAATTAAACTAATTCGCATTAAATTCTCCGTGTGAACGCGGATCAAATTTAATTCGCAGTAACTTACGTTTAATTCGAATTAAACTCTCCGTGTGAACAGGGCATTATATTACATACATATTGGCTAAATTTTAATGACATACATTGTGCTTAATTTTAAATGACATACATATTTGTTATCCCTCGCAATGGTAATAACAATAGTAATGCAATAGTGTTTGTGGGTGTGAAAATTATAATTGAGTTGTGTACAATTGGGTTTAAAATATTTGTTAACATCATATTTAGCTACGTAGCTTGAATTACCTATCAAGTACAGTGAAGTCGTCAATTACAGGTTTTTGTATCCACAATTTTTTTGTTGGTATTTTTTAAGCATGTAAACATTTACTTCTTGACAGCACTTACCCAATCACTATATATTTAGCTACATACATGAACATGTAGCTTGCCTATATACAGTGAAGTTGCCAATTACGGGTTGTCTCAGATTCGATTCATTCATATGTATTTTATGCCATTTTGTTTAAATTGAAGCACAGAATAAACACACTGGTCAAGAATTGATTTTTCTGTCTGTAATCAATAATAGAATTTCGAAAATCAACATAAATGTTTTTGTTCACCACAGCAAGGCAAAAGTTTAAGTTACCGGTAAACAATAATAGCTGCAAAATATGGCAACTGCATTCAGTTATAACCCGGAAAGCATTCATAATGATCACTGCTCAAATAAATTTACACTGATTAATAAATCAAACTGTAGCAGAGGTCCACCACATACCTCATGACATATATCAAAACTTAACATGCTCAATATTCAGAACCAATTAAGTGTCAACTTTTTTATTTACCTAGTATTATAAAAGTATTCTCCAAGGAAAATATAAAAAGTAAAATTGTGTTTCCCTTGCAAAAAAAATGTTGGAGAGGACATAGTAATGCTCGTGTGTTTGGGGGGGGGGGGGGGGGGAGAGAGAGAGAGAGAGAGAGCTCGTTAACAAAAGTTAAGCAAGTAATAATTCATATCAGGTTGATATGCTCTTTTTTGAGGGGATGCTCCACTTTGCGGTGCCCTTGTTAGATTCTGATGTGCTAAATATGTGCACATAGTATTTTAATTACATTGACACAGTTAAGAATAATTATAAGTACACATATGATATTCTAATTACATTGACACAGTTTAGAATTATTATAAATATACATAGTCATATAGTATTCTAATTACATTGACACAGTTTAGTGAATTAATATGAGTACATATATGGTATTCTTATTACTTTGACATAGTTTATAAGTACATTTATTTTATTTTTAATCACATTATTGACACAGTATATAAGTACATATATAGTTTTCTAATTACTTTGACACAGTTTAGAATTATAAGTACACTGTCAGTCATATAGTACGTATTCTAATTACATTGACACAGCTAGACAGTTTAGAATTTAAGTACACATGTGATGTTCTAATTACATTGACAGACTTTAGAATTATTATAAATACATTTATAGTATTCTAATTACATTGACACAGTTTCAAATTATAAAAGTTTAAAACAAATTGATTTCAAAAATGTTTTATACTTGTATATTGGCAGTTGACACAGTTTCAAATTATAGAAGTTTAAAACAAATTGATTTCAAAAATGTATTATACTTGTATATTGGCAGTTATATATGATTGAAATGTAGTGTGCCAGTGGGGAGTTTGTGTAATATTTGAAGTGATGGATATTGCCTGCTGACAGGCATGTTGTAACAGAGGATCACGTCTGTTTGTTTAAGTGCATTCTGCTTTCTTTAAAAAATTCTGTTGATGTCTGATCCTTGCTAAGGTAATATTAAGTTAAAAGGGATTTTATCAGCTATCTGATAGTCTGTCTTAATCACTTATGATGTGAAATATTATGTAATTTTAGATGAATTTACTTGGATGGCTTATGTCTGGATGATTGTAATATGTACACCAAAGGCTAATTTTAAATATCAAAGCAAAGCAGAGTGTAGTCTTTGTCCCTGTTATGGGAATGAGGTCTAGTTTGCTTTATACAGTTTTTTCTTGTTCAACTTAGCAGATTAAAGATGTGTATTATGAGTTTTATGTTATTGTTAAATTTTACAAATATGTTTGTGTGTAATAGATATGACAGTGATATAGCTCAGAAACTTACCTAGTACCTGAGAATTATTAATGTCAAAATAATTGAATTTTATGTTTTAACAGGTATGGGTTAAATTTGCATTCATTAACTCTGTTGAAGACCTGAAATGTGAAGGTCACACTAAAAATCAAGAGCATATAGTAGTACATAAAAATTGAAGGGGAAAAAACTAATGTGCTAGGTGAAGTCCAGCCCATTATAAATGCATCAAAAAGAAATAAAAGTGGTGGACTTTTTTCATTCTATGAATAATTCATAAACTAGTGTAAGAGTGGTTTTAATTTTCAATGTGTGGCTTTTGTCATGTTATATAGAATTTTTCTCTTACAGAACTTGCTAGGAACAGTTCACCTACCTTCAACTCTCTATAACACATCAGAAGGCTCCGTCCAGAACAGTACCAATACTGCCAGACTGCAGTTCATCCTATACAGAAATGCCCAGCTGTTTCCCTCCTTGACCCTCATACATGACGACCCTCAGATTGGAACCAAAACAGTCTCAGTGGTGTCTGCCATCTTGTCCGTAAATTCATGTAAGTAAAAGGAGGGGCTGATGAAAGAGTTGTGGTTTGGAGGGTTGCAGACAAAGAGATTGATTTGAAAGGGGTTTGAAATGAGTGATAAATTCACAAAGATGTGTATCCTTTGTTATTTCAGTTTGCTTTGCACTGTTGTATGAGGAACATTTATATAAGTACAAATTTTATAAACTAAATGAAAAAAAAAAACATGTTTTAAAGGGTTATATGAAAAAGTAAAAATCAGAATACAAATGAAATTTTATTTAATTTTTTTTTCATTTATTATACTTTGACATGAGACAATAGGTTACATGTAGAAAAAGTATAGGATGTTTATTAAATTTTCTTTGATTTTCCTTTTGCCTTTATCTTTTTGTAACACAGTGTGGTAGGCTGTGACATCATAGTTGAGTGGTTATGAGACGTCCTAGCTAAGTGATTGTGAGATTGAAAATAGTAAACATGGATATTAACATTAATTTGGAGAAATTTTGGCAATTTTCGTTTGTGTTAGGGTGGTTTATTTACTTTTGCTATCTTATAACCTGGATTATTTTCTCTATAACACTGTTTGTGAAGGGAATAAAAATAGACAGTTTTGTCGTACTTTCGATATTTTCACAGTGAAAAATATCATTTTTATTCAATGGATAAATTACAGTATTTCACTGTTGAAATGTAATAAAATTTGAAACAAACAAGATGTAGTGGAATAAATGACCTTGTTCATAAAAGATGTTTAATTATTCCAGAGGTACTCACACAAATAACCTGGTATAGCAGTAAAAGTTATCTAAATTCACTCACTAGTACAAAATCAAATTTATTTATATTAAAATTAGATGTTTCAAGAAAAAAAAAGAAAAGAAATGGACTGATCAAAAAATGAAATCTGCATTGATAATGTTTTCTTGATTATGCACTGACCTGCGAACATATAATTTACGATAAGACACATCATTTCATGTGATTTATTGTAGGATTTGTTCATTTATTTGCCTTTTTTTCAATTTGATTATTCATTTAATGCAGACATGTATTATTCATTTTGTCTTTTTTTGATCTGTTATTCAAGTTTCACTCTATTCATACAACAGGCTGTAAAATAGATACTTTCTAAATGCATGGTATTTACATGTCATAAATCATGATACAATAGGACCTGATAAGTAGAAATCTGATAAACACACAACCTGATAAATACAAAATATGATAGAATTACATGTTCAATACAGTAGGATGCATGCACAATACTATAGTTACTTATTAAGTTTGTTAGTGACTCTCTACAGAAATATATTGGGTTGGTCAATCTCATAGACAGCAATCGAGGCAAAGCTGAGCCATCTATGAAACTGATTAACCAGTTATATTTCAGTAGACAGTCATTAACAAACCTATAAAGTGTCGTGGACCAATAGCAAACCTAGGGATCAATTACAATTAAAGGATTTCCTCATAAGTATAAATCTCCATCTTGTTGTTTACTGATTACATCACTGAAATGGATGCTTGTTTAAATTTATTCTTAGCATTGCAAAGGTAATGTGAATACATTAGTTTCTTGTAAAGAAAAAATGATGATGGCATTTTCTTTTTTTGGGGGGGGGGGGTTTAAATATTGATGATATGGCATTATTATTATTATTTTTTTTTTTTTTTTTTTTTTTTTGTAAATATTCATGACATAACATCTTTTTGTCCACCATATTGCCATTTATATTTTGTTACTTGCCATCTACAGAAATGTAGACACTAGGCAGGGCGTCTGTTATCCAAACATCATTTTAGGAGAAGACTATCTAAGTTTATGAACTTGGGTCTAATCCTTTTGACTCTGTGTCAATAAAATATGTTCAATTCAATTCATTCTAGTTGGAGGCAAAACAAATAAGGATACATGCACAATATGATAGAATGCATGCACAATACAAAAGGATACATGCACAATATGATAGGATGCATATGCACAATATGATAGGATGCATCCACAATACAATAGGAAACATACGCAATATTGTAGGATAAATGCACATATGATAGAATGTGTGCACAAAATGATAGAATGTGTGCACAAAACGATATGATGTATGCACCATGCAACAGGATGCATGCACAATATGATACAATGCATCTGCAATATGATAGGATGTATGCACAATATGATAGAATACATGCACAATACAATAAGATACTTGCACAATATGAGAGGATTGCATGCACAATGCAATAGGATATATGCAAAATATGATATAATGCATGTTCAATATGATAAGATGCATGCACAATATGATAGAATACATGCAAAATACATTAGGATACATGCTTAATACATGTATGATAGAATGCACAATATTGTAATGTTTCCACCTGTTATAGGGTTTGTTAAAATAAATATAAATTATTGTGGATCTCCTGTTTTTGAGTTTTACCACTTTTAAGATTCTAATATAATGTTAGGATGTGAATTTATAAAATTTATTATGATTAAAATACAAAAAAATAATTCAGAAATTTAGAAACAGGGGAACCACAATAATAATATATAATTATTCATTTTAACAAACCCTATAACAGGTGGAAACAGTGCAATAGGATACATGCAATAATATAAAATGCATGTACAATGTGAAAAATGCATGCACAACAGGATACATGTGCAAAATGCTAGGATACATATACTGGTATTATATGGTGGGGAATTGTCAGGAATGTTACAGATATTGTCAATGGTTTGATGTAGTTAAATCCTTCAGTATTAATATCTCGGAATAGTCTTAATTTCTAAAATCCAATAAAGATTGCAGTAAAATATAAGTGATATGGTACAGCAAAAAGATATTCTATATTTCAAGTAGAACACTTAACCCCAGTTAAAGCAGGTAGGATTTATAAGTATGGTTCATGTGGTCTTTAAATTCATTTCTAAAGCATTGGCACCAAATGCTTTCTCTACTTTTATCCCCTTTTCTTTTTCATAAATGCCAGTTTAATGAATCTGTACTCCTGCCTGTTTTCTGTCTTTCCCGTAATTCCCTTCTTAACACTTCTTGAATAGCAAACTTGATGGATGTATTTTTGGCTTAGATGTTTATGCTGGTACTTAATGTACACAGTGAACCTGTATTGTCAGTTCATACCTAAGTTTGACTGTTTTGATGTACTAAAAGTAGTTCAAATCATTGCTATGCATTCTATCCCCTCTAATTTATATCTTATGAAATGTGAAATGACTGTATGAAAAATAGGTGAATGTCTAATGGATACTTTATGCAGCAACATCTTTTTTTTTTATTTTACTAAAAAATATTCATTCCCTCCAAACAATTTTTTGAAATTTGTAATGCTATTTTAACTTTGTTTTTATGGCCAATTTCCATTTCATTTTGTAGATTATCATTCTTAGTTTTAATTTAATGAAAATTCATCAGTGAAGAACTCAGCAATCATTATTGTTAGATGTAAATAATTCAGACGTTTATGTCGAGAGCTTCAATCCAGGCAGGATGGTTGATATGACCTTGTAGTATTTGAATGTTTTTCATTTACAGCTCCTGTAGTAGTCAACTTGTCAAATCCAATAACCTTGACCTTCAAGGTGAAGGCTACCTCTGAAAATCTTCTGGCAGTATACTGGGATTCAGAAGCTAATGGTATGTATAGCATACATGTGCTGAAATAATTATCTTGTCTTTAAAAACTTGTTGATGATGGAATAAAAAAAAAAAAATAAAGATTAAATATCTTAGCATAGCATGAATAACATACTACAGTAAAACACATTTATAGTGAGGTGTCAGGGATGCAATATTGATTCATTATAAATGTAATTCATTATATCCAATTAGTTAATAATACAGTTTAAAATTATGGGAAATGAAAATTACTGCACTGTAAGCATGAATTGGATATAAGCATCTTCACTGTAGCCATGTTTTACTGTATATTCAGACCCATATATAGCTAATTTTCAAATTTTTAGCTCTGCACGTCAAGGGTAAGATGTCTGCACTGTCGTCTGTAAACAAAACGATGCTCCTCTTACAGTTTGAGTTCAATTTAAATAAAATTTGGTGCACAAGTAGATACACAGATACTTAATTATATGTATTGGTTTTTGGCATTGCTATGGTTATTAAAAATAAAATTTCTGTGGGATTCTTTCAAACTGCTACTTGCATGGCACAGTGGTTGGTAGAGACCAGTCCTTCATACAAGACTGTATAAAAACCAAGGTCCCCATGTCGCAGTAGATGCTGGCACAGATAAGATCCTTCACTGCCCAGTGGCCATAAGAGTAAATTTGCAGCCTTCCACAGCAATGGGTGGTGTCACAACATGAATGAAATACTAGTATTTTCAAAGGGACTTAAAGAAACAACTGACCAACCAAAATGCTACTCCTATAGATTTTGTCCATTTTTTTTTTTTAGAAACTTAATACACATTTAAACTACATAAAGACATATAATTCTTTTTCAAACTTTTGACTGTGACCATCAATAATATTATGGTTACTTGAAATAGAAGTTTCTATGAAAATGCTACTCATTCTAGAGTTGTAGTTGGATTTCAATAAAACTTCAAACACAGTTAATCTACACTTAAATACGTAATTCTCTGCATCATTTTCTTCATTTAAATGAACAGTATATCAGTGGTTACTGAAATTGAAATGTTTAAATTCTTTTAAAACCTTAGCAACTACTAATGTTATTGGTCAAATTCAATTAAACTTATTACACAAGTAGACTAAACCAGAGATTATATCAAATTTCATTTATTGGTGTTGCCAAAGATACTAAGTCCAAGTGCTGCTTTTCTCTTCACCTACTATAAATAGGAATCAGTGAAGCTGCAGTCTTGTCAGAGACTTCTGGTTTATAAGCTAGATCATTGAGGCAAACATTCTGTTTAGTTACGTTAAGGTATTTGGGTGATTCAAAGCATAGAATCAACATAAGGTTAAAGGGAAAGGAAAAACTACTAATAGACAATGTAAATACTGCAGCATTTAAAAGGTGGCAAGAGTATTTTCAAATATTTGAAATGTATATCTGAAGGATATATGAATTAATACTTGGTTTCTATAAGTGTCTGTTGACTTCCTGAGGCTACTAACTGAAATCACTAACTGGAAATATTGATCTAAAGGACCAAAACAAATCTGTGTCAGTACTGGGTCATAGACATTTTAGGAGATTGTTGTGTTTTATTGAAGTGAAGAGGCAGTCTGTTGGGAAAATGGTGAGAAAAAAATCCACTAAAAATTGGAGGGGGATTAAAATACTTGGAAATATTTGTTTTGTTTATTCTTTTATATGATGTGTAACATTAATTTATAGGAAGATGTGAAATGTGCATGAGAACAAAGGATTTTTTGTTCAGCATTTTGAATGAGTTTTTGTTTTAACAGGTGGATTGGGAGACTGGAAAACTGATGGCTGTTCTATCAAAGGAATTGTCCAAAACTACACCACAGTCCAATGTCAGCATCTCTCCATATTTGCTGTGATTGAGGTACACAGAATTTTTTTCTTTTCAAAGATAAAGAGCATTATTTTCAGAAAAGCAGAGATGAAGTTCATACAACTAGAACTTTTAGTGTCTTTTGAAAAATTAGTATCAATACATGTAGTATATTTCATGTAAATTGTATAAAAGTTATGAAAATGTTCAGGTAATAATTAGCAGTATATTGTGAGTTATTCAGATGATTGAGGTTTACAATTTTAGTATGGAATAAGATAAATATGGTTTTCTTTTTTTTTTTTAATTTTGAAGAAGAATATTTTGATATTCTTGATACGATCTATTGCAGACATCTCCTGGTACTGAGGCCTTTTCACTGAAGATGTTCCAGTTGATGCATGTAGCAGTATATGTGGGAAGCTGTGTTTGTCTCCTGTGTTTAATGGCTGTCATTATAACTTATGTGTCCTGTTTCAGGTAATACTTATCTCCTTCATGTGTCTGTAATCTTTGGACTAGGAACTTATTTTTACAGAATCTTAATGTGTTATGTCATGGTGTCACAGGGATTCTGGAATATAAAAAAGTTCTGAGATAATCAGATTTAGAGCAATTCTCTTTGCAGCACATACATGTGGGTAATTGATATTTATGTATTTTGAAGACTAGATCATGTCTTCATTTTATAATATTTTCCATTTCCAACTTAATGGAAATACCAGAAAAAATTTTTGGCATAATCACTAAGCATTTGTCAGAGTGATAAAATCATTAAAAACAGAGATGACCAAAAGTTGACATTAGATCACAGTGAGCCAGCTGACTCAGTGCTATATCTTTTTATCTTTCACCTAATGTCAAATTCCTGTCTGTATCTGTTGTTTTGATATTGTTATGGTTAAGGCCAATAACTTTGAAATTAAAGCAGTTCATTTTTTTTTAAATTTAAAACATAACTTTCAGAAATATATTTATTTTGGTATGAGAAAAAAAAATACTTTCAAGTATACAGATGTGATTTTTGCTTTGATTTAATGCTTTTGATTATGCAGAACAAAATCTGGTTGATTATTTTGTTTTATCAGAGAAACATTTTAACATTTAGATTCATTAATGTGCCCAACAAGATGAAGCACTCTGTGATTAACATCAGTGTGTGTGTCCTACTGCTCATCATTGGCTTCACCATGGGAGTCAAACGCACAGATCACCTGCTAGCATGTCAGATCATTGGAATTTCCATGCATTATTTAACTTTATGTGCCATCTTCTGGATAACAATCACTTCCTTGTAAGTATTGTAGATTTTACAAGCTGACCATGATAATAGCCATAGGTAATTTTTATTTTCTTTGTGCCATATGCATGAAAAATTTTTCACACATAGAATCCCTGAGAATAATCACAAACTCCACAAGAAAAACAAACACTTAATGACAAGTTTTAGATTAATTGCTAGATAAATTTCAGCATAGAACTAAATTATTCAGAAATATTTTATTTTGTAGCAATATGATGAAGAAATTTTCCAAGGCTAGTAAGCCGCCAGCTCCACCCCCAGATATGCCAGGTATGCCTTTACCCCCCAAGCCAATGATTCGCTTTTACCTGCTGGGATGGGGTGTGCCTACCATCATTTGTGGCATCACAGCTGCTGTCAGTCTCGATCACTACTCAGAGCCAGCATAGTAAGTATAGCTGTAATAGGAATTATCTTATGATTATGTTAATCTTTAAGTGTAATTTATACATGCAACTTTATCATGCTTATACTTGTAGTTTACAATTATACAATGATAGTAATATTATAAGATTTGTTGGACTTGATCAGAAAGTAACTGTTTACCAAAAAATTGATCGATTTGACAACCCTTATAATAATAATAAACTATGACCCCTTACCAAATTGTGTCAGCAAGGTTTACGCCCCAAGGTAGGATTGAATTGATAAGCATGTTGAAAATTGCATTAAAATTTTCAATTCTTTTTCCTTGAGAATCAATGCAGCAAACCCTGAGTTTAACTCCCATATGGGGTGAACTTGGTCAAATCTTGACATCTCGTGATATCTGTAAAGCCTGTAGGCTTTTCCAATTGATACATATTTATTATTTTGTTCCATTTCAGTTGCTTTTTGGCCTGGGATCCTAGCCTTGGAGCATTTTATGGCCCGGTGGCTTTACTCGTGATCTTTAATCTGGTGTTCTTCCTGCGGATTTCATGTATAATTCAAGGAAGCACAAACAATCTTAATGAATCTAATCGCACAGAGGATATCAACGACATCGAGCTTACTCAAAATGGGGACAACAACAACACTGAAATTGAGGCTCTCACTCAGACTAATAATAACCCCAGTAACATTGATCCATCAATAGGCGACGACTCGGAGATCAAATCTCTAGTGTCAAGTGTGGCTGACCAGGAAAAGAGACCTCAGTCACAGTTATATGCAATCATAGCTATTCTAATTTTATTTATCTTATTCTGGGTCTGTGGAGCAGTGGCTGTGGCAGAACCTTTTAAATTCATTATTCCTATGCAGGAGTTAATTTTCAGTTATCTCTATGGAATTACCTGTGCCATATTTGGAATATTTATGTTGTGCTATTTTTGTTTGTCAAGAAAGGATTCATGTTCTAGTTGGAAACGATTTTTTCTGTGTGAAAAACACCCTTTATATGATTTAAACTACCAGGCAGCCAATCACGGTGCATTGAGTAATGGTCATGTGATGCAGGAAAATGGTGACTTAGATCCAGATGTGAAATCTTACAATATAACACATGAGATGCCTACTGACAGTGTTAAACAATCCAATATCAATCTAGTCCCTGCCAATTCTAGTTCTTTTATTGAAGATTCAGTAAATAATGGTGCTCATGAGAGTAATATTAAAGTATTCTATAACCCAAGACAAAATGGTGTTGCGAAAAAGTTTTGGGAAAAACAGAGACACAATTCCCGTTACATCAGCAGGGATGCAACTAAAGAATTCAATGGAAGTATTACATCTTTTTCGGGATCAGAAGCCAATAATCGTCAGCAGACAAGTGGTAATCTAAGTGATGGAAAATCTCACCTTAGTATTGAAATTCAGATTCAATCTAAAGGAGTATTGAACCATTCTCAGAATGGAAAATCACCTCTTCCTCCACAATTTAGCAATGCTATGGTGGTCCCTCACAGTGGAGTGCCTGGTCACCACACCCCCGTGTTTTCTATGGTTCCACTGAATAAGAACAATATAACCACAGTGGCAGGATCAGGGTCTGTCAATGCTACAAGCCCGTGCTGTAGCACTGTGTCCTTTTGCGAATCACAGGCTGTGTCCCAACATACAAGATCACCTAGTTCATGTTCTCTAGGGTCAAGGTCACATCCAAGTGCCTTCACTCCTGTGACTCCAAGGAATAACACTTTGCCTAAACCTCATAAGACCTCGGATGGGAACATCCCACAGTTACCCCCGTCTTACAATGATTTGATAAAAAATGGTTCCCTTTCAAGAATACGTGATTTTGATGGACGGAGTCAAGTGGGTGACTCTCGTTGTCAGAGTCCAAGGAATCAAGGTTTACACAGTGAACCTCATTTAATATATCCCCCTTCTGGGCCCCTTAGTTCTCAGGAAGGCTGTACATATACACAGTATGGATCAGTGGATGATCATATTACATGTGAACCGCAGCGTTCTCAAAGAGCACGTTCACATTCAGGTGGATATAGTTCTGATGCTGGTGCAAAAAATCTCCGAAAAAAAGAAAGTTTTATTCATGACGTGCAGCAGAGGGTTCCAAATATGGAACCTCTCATGATCATTCAGTGTCGGTCACCCACAAATCAGCTGAATCAATCACAAAACAGTAACTTTAGATCTCCTATGCATCAGCCAAACCAAATGAAAAACAGCAATTGTCGATCACCCATTTGTCAGCTGAACCAATCACAAAACAGTTCTTACGTGAGTCCAAGTATGAATGTTGGAAAACAGAGTAAGCTTTGTACCCATGACAGTGATAGTGGTATTAATTACAAAAAAACTCAAGACTCGGATCATAACTCTGAGCCAAGCACCTCTCGTCATCATCGAAGGCCGCACGACTACCGGGGTAACTCGCGTCAAGCACGGGGAAATGCAAGGACAAAATTTGAGTGGGACAAAAATATTAGCAAAGCCAAGTCTGTTCCTTACGCATATGTAAATCATAAGTATGCCGAAAGGGTCAGAAAGAAAATGAACATCCAAACACCAATGGAGGCCAAAAATGACTGGGGTTCCCCGAGTTTGGAAGAGGATAGTACGTCCTCCTCAGGAAATGAGGCCTGCTTTGATCACAATGTGTGGGTGCTACAAAACCAAAGGAAGCTGAAACGCAAGAAAGAAACAAGTGTATAACTGTGTATATTTATCAGCAACTTATTGTGACAATTTATTTAACTTACTTATCAGTGCAATTCCAGTATTGTCTTTTTTTTTTTACCTTGATGTAGCCGTCATGATTGCAGTCACAAGATCAATATATGGAGTCTTTTTTTGTTTTAATTGTGAAAAACAAGGCCAAAGTTTTATCCACTTTTGATGCAAATATGTCGTATTGAATATCTTTTGAAATTTTAAATTATGTATTTTTATTCAACAAGTTACATGATTAACTTTTATTTATACTTTTGGTAATATATTTATTTTTATGAATATTGAGATTTTTTTCAGTAACTATTATATTGTGAGTGTACACCTATAGACTGTTTTATATTTTCTATTATATTTATGAAGTTGAAATGTCTACTCAATTGAAAGGTTGATGAAGATTTTAGAATATTTGCAAGCTAATATCCATTATTCTAAAAACAGGGAGGAATTTTTTTTCAACATATACAGAGGAAATATCCTCTGAGATCATAAACAAGTGAATTAAATCTGAACTAATATTAGATCTTGAATATGCGCAAGTCATTTTGAATGACAGGATATGAATTAATGAACAATAGATCAATGACTTAATTGTGTATTTTAAACATAATTTGGTTTATAGAAGAATCATCCTTATGAGCTTGGAGATTTTTTCTTACAATATAAATATCATTTTCTGTCCTGTTTTCTTGGCATTATCTATATTACATGTAGCTAAACCTGGGTGCTAGCTGACATCTGTGTATTTACATAGAGTACACATTATTATGTGTTATTTATTTGCCATTTTATATACATGTTAAATGTTAGTATATGGTCTTCAGGCTGAATTGTGTAGTTTTGTATATGTTCCTCCTTAAATGTGATTGTAAATACATTTGTATTTTAAAGAAATAAAAGCCCTAACTGTAAAATAAATATTTTATGGTCTATTTGAACAAGTCGGGTAAACTACATTATATGGCATGTATACCATGACAGTCTAGGATTCAATAGGGACGTGGTTTTTACCTCACCAAGATAAAGTCAAGATGAGCCTGTGCGTTACCCCCAGCGCTGGCATCCTAGCTAAAGTTTTGGGAGCAAGTCAATTGTAACTATAAGCCCTACCTGGACCAAATTTGCACGGATGATACATCTAGGGATGGACACTACTATAGACTTGATTCAGATGCTGTATTCCACGTATATTTTCCATATAGGTGATTACATTAAAGTTTTGGGGGCAAGTCTATTCCCAAGTAACTATAATTAAGCCCTACCTGGACCAAACTTGCATGAATGATGCATCTAGGGATGCACACTACCCGACTTGTTTTGGATGCTGGATTTGACGTACATTTTTCAGATGTGAAAAAAATTAAATTTTTTGAAGCAGGTCCATTCCCAAGTAACATAAAGGCCTACCTACTTCTACATTTTTAGCTCTTCTGAGCCAAAGGCTCAAAGAGCTAATGCTATGGCCATTTGTGTGGTGTGAGTAAACTTTTTAGAATATGGGCCATAACTCAAGAACCCCTTGGCCAATTGTCAAATTTGTCACAGGGTATCCTTGGCCCAAGGGCTCCCATTTATACTTAAACTAGGGTTGTGACCCTTAAACAAGGGGAGATAATTAAGAAAATAGAAACAAAAGTAATGATTGCTAAAAAATCTTCTTCTCAAGATCCAATGGGCAGATTATCACCAAACTTAAAAAAAGGGATTGAGATATGTTGTAGATTAAAATTTGGACGGGGATTTACCCTGGGGCAAAGGGTGTGGTCTCAAGGTCACTTCAAAGTTGACCAAAAATTACATTTTATTAAAATATTGATATTTTGCTTACTATAAGGACTAGGATCATGAAATCTTGTCAGTTGATGCATCTAAGGACCTCATATCATGTTGACTCAAAAGAAGGTCACAGTGAACTACTTTTTAAATTTTGCAGCCATTCTTTTTCAAAATAATTTAGAGGCATATTTTGAGCAATTTAAGGCCTATGATAATCAAACTTTGTCAATTGATGTATCTTGGGTCCTCGGAGTATGTTGACTAAAAAGTAGGTCACATTGACCTACTTTTTGAATTTTATGGCTAATCTTTTTCAAAACAATTAAGGTAATTGATTCCAATACTGAGAGGTTTAGAATCATTAAGGACCCACTCTACACTAAGCAAAAATGTTTTTGGACATTGAGAAAATTATATTGTATAAAGGTGTAAATATTGAGCTTATTTATATCATTTTCAACAAAGGGTGCCTGGCTTTTACCCCCAAGAAAAATGTTCAAAGTCAACAAAGTTTTGATGAACAGAAATCACTGTTGTTTACCGAAGTGGGGAAAAAGCATATAGATGAGGTTTTCAATTAATTCATCTTGGCCTATCAGAATGTTGAGAATGCTTGAATTGATTAGAAATTGATTGATAAACTGTAAATTTCAATTTATTTTATTTCAGATTTAACAGCAGATTACTCTAACTACATAAAAATACCACAGAATCAGAACTCTTTATTTAGTGTGCAGTGTATAGAAAGTTCTTAAATCTTGTAAGATGATGCATCTTGGGGCCATAAAACATATTTATTAAAAAGTAGGTCACAGTGACCTACTTTTTGAACTTTGCAGGCATTCGATTTCAAAGCGGTTTAGAGGCATAATTTGGACATTTTAAGGAGGCCTATGATCATAAAACTTTGTAAGCTGATGCATCTTGGGTCCTCAAAAAAATGCCAACTGAAAAGTAGGTCACTGTGTGACCTACTTTTGAAATTTTATGGCTGTATTTAATATTTTCGGGTACTATTTGGCTTAGAATCATCAAAAATTGTCAGTTGATGCATCTTGGGTCCTCGGAGTACAACAACTGAAAAGTAGGTCACCGTGACCTACTTTTGAAATTTTATGGCAGTATTTAATATTTTTCGGGTACTATTTGGCTAAGAATCATCAAAATTTGTCAGTTGATGCATCTTGGGTCCTCAGAGTAGGTCGACTGAAAAGTAGGTCACCATGACCTATTTTCAATTTATATGACTATAATTAAATATTTCAGGAACTAATTGGCTTAGAATCATCAAACTTTGTCAGTTGATGCATCTTGGGTCCTTAGAGAAAGACAGCTGAAAAGTAGGTCATTGTGACCTACTTTTGAAATTTTATTGCTGTATTTGATATTTTCAGGTACTTTTTGGCTTAGAATCATCAAAATTTGTCAGTTGATATATCTTGGGTCCTCGCAGTAGGTCGACTGAAAAAGTAGGTCACTGTGACCTACTTTTTCAACTTATATGACTATAATTAAATATTTTGGATTGGAGCTTTGGAGTGAGTTGAAATCATGTACAAGGTTTTTTTTCTTTCCACATACATTTTGAAAAAAATACATTTTCTATGAACTTTTATAATTAGAAATGAGAAAAATCTTGGAGCAGGAGATCGTCTTAGTCTTGTACACCTCCATTCTTTAATGGTGTTGTATAAATGAAGGACACAAGCTACAAATAAAACCAGAAGTCTCTGATGAGACTGTAGCTCTACTGGTTTGTACTTAAAAGTAGCACTTGGACTTGAAACTTTGCAACAGCAATACATAAATAATGATCCTTGGTGTAGTCTCTTTTTATTTTATTGAGATTTTTGTATTAATAAGATTTATTGCAATCAGACTAAATTTGTAGGAGGAGTAGCCTTTTAAAAGAATTTTACAGAAATTTCAATTTTACTAACCATGGCAACATCATTCAACAAAATCAAAAAACAATAGAGACAATTCTGTATCATAGTATAGTCTACTTGTGTGCCAAGTTATACTGAAATCAGATCAAAACTGTAGGAGGAGTAGCCTTTTAAAGAGTTTCACAGAAATTTCTTTTTTTAGTAATAATGGCAACACTGTTCATCGAAATCAAAAACTGATATACAGAATTATGTATCATAGTCTAGTCATCTTGTGTGCCAAGTTATACTGAAATCAGATCAACACTGTAGGAGGAGTAGCCTTTTAAAGAGTTTCACAGAAATTTCTTTTTTTAGTAATAATGGCAACACTGTTCATCGAAATCAAAAACCGATACACAGAATTATGTATCTTAGTATAGTCTACTTGTGTGCCAAGTTATACTGAAATCAGACCAAAACTGTAGGAGGAGTAGAGTTCTAAAGAGTTTCACAGCTATTTTTAATAACAATGGCTACACCGTTCATCGAGATCAAAAACTCATATACAGAATTATGTATCTTAGTATAGTCTACTTGTGTGCCAAGTTATACTGAAATCAGACCAAAACTGTAGGAGGAGTAGGGTTCTAAAGAGTTTCACAAAAATTTCTATTTTTAGTAACCATAGCAACACCGTTCATCGAAATCAAAAATCGATACACAGAATTATGTATCATAGTCTAGTCATCTTGTGTGCCAAGTTATAATGAAATCAGAACAAAACTGTAGGAGGAGTAGCGTTTTGAAAGTATTTCAAGGAAATTGCTATTTTCAGTATTCATGGCAACACAGTTCATCGTAATAAAAAACGGATACACAGAATTATGTATCTTAGTGTTGTCTACTTGTGTGGCAATTTATACTGAAATCAGACCAAAACTGTAGGAGGAATAGGGTTTTAAAAGAGTTTCACAGAAATTTCTATTTTTAGTAACCATGGCAACACCGTTCATCGAAATCAAAAATCGACATACAGACTTATGTATCATAGTCTAGTCTACTTGTGTGCTAAGTTATATTGAAATCAGATCAAAACTGTAGGGGGGAGTAGCGTTTTGAAAGTATTTCAAGGAAATTTCTATTTTTAGTAACCATGGCAACATCATTCAACAAAATCAAAAAACAATAGAGACAATTTTGTATCACAGTATAGTCTACTTGTGTGCTAAGTTATAGACGGATGGACAACGGACACCTTACTATCGCATAAGCTCTTCTGGTCTCCGACCAGTAGAGCTAAAAATTGATTGAATGGATTGGTACGTATTTTAGGACTTACTCGGTTATACATGAGGTGTATATCAACTAAAATATTAAGAAATGGTAGATTTTCAATGATGTTGATAGCAATTCCTTTTTTTCATTACCCTATAAATCTTTACAAATTATTATCTCTTTATAGAAAATTTATCTAAAACTCTGAATGAAAATATGACATTTTACATGGCTAAACTAAATGATATCAATATATATTTTCATGACTTTTGAAAATAATTTGTGGCATCTGTCCTTATGATGCATCACCTGTTTACTCCTATGATTTTCCAGAAGAAATTTAAATTAAAGCATCCCTTCAACAGTTTAACTTGACATTTTTATAAAGCAATGTCATTTATCCCAGTTAGATTTATCTCCCTTATCAGAGGGTCAGTGAACCTTTATAACGAATGAAAACATCAAAACAACACAGTATTCATATTTTATCTCCTTTTATTATTTTGCCAAATTTTGCTTTAACAATTTTGTTGAGTACTATTCGTCTCGAAAACTACAACAAAAATACTTTTAAAAAAAGTGGGTATGAATGAAAAGTACCCTGTATATCACTTACAATGAGCAATTAAAAATATATGGACTGGAATACATGTAACTTGTAAAATGAGACCTCTGTGGTAGAAAGAATATACTGTACATCTTGCCAGGAAAGCATAACAAAGTATAATGACAATTGTTCAGCATTCAAACATAAGCAATTTACCAAGTACAACTTTGTATGTACATAAATTCTAACATTATGTGTCTTTAGGAGGTTGCATGCTCAACCTTGAATAAAAGTTTAAACTCATTTTAAAATGTAGTCCATATTGACTAATACTTCAAATTTCATAATGTACCCCAAAACTGAATACCACGGTAATAGTAATTCTCAATATTGTGCAGAAATTGAGCTTAAAGATAATGTCCTTTCAAAGCATTATCAAATGATATCTGATATCAAGTTGTTCTTCCAAGTGTTGGAATTGGCTAATGGCTTTGGAGGGATGCCTTCCATCTGGTCAGAATTGCTTTTTTAGGTTCCAAATACTGACATCTGTTAGAGTTGAGATATACTCTAGATGGTATAGAAGTCAACAGATCAGAACAACTAAGCAACTGTCAACTAATTGTATATGTTGACCATGTTGTATAGCGATTGACATCAGTGGATGTGGACAATGCCGGACATGCTATCAAAGTTGTTTGGTCATCCATCAATACACCTTCTTCAGTTGTTCATACATCAGAAAGAACTGAATACAGGTCAAGGTTAACTATAAAAGTATACGCATTCAAGTCTGACATGTATTTGTACAAGTGTACATAAAAAAAAATCAAAAGCCTGAAAGGCTTCAATGGCATCAAACATAAAAAAGAATTAAATATAAAATTAAGCAAATTCTCACAATTATAGGTGTGGTGTTAAATAATTAATCTCTTTTCACTTAGTTGAAGAGCTAGGAAGGAAATATTTTATTACTGTTCTACTTGTCAATGTCTAAGCATGGCCTTTTTAATATTTCTAGCTTACATATTTTCAGTGATTGCATCAAAGCTATGCATTATGATCCGGCGTGGTATTCTATATTCTATGAAACCCAGCAATGGAGCTCAACTCTTCCATGTTTATGATAAAATTTAATGATTCTAAAATTGTAAGAGTAAAATTTGAACTTTAAAAGTCAATGTTTCAACCTTCTTGTTTGCCTATTAAAGTAGTACATTAACTGCTCTGTTGGTTATTTTCTTTTCATTTAGGTTTCCTGTCAAAAACCAATGATTCATGTAATTCAAAGCAACTATCAGTTAAGTTCCTCATTTTTTCTTTAGTTACAATAAAATCAGTATCTGTATTTTAATTGTTATAGAATTAGTTTCAAATGTACTGGATGCAATTTAATTTTCAAGTTATCTATTGTGCTATCTAGATGTGCTATTTTCTTTCGCAGATGCAGCGAGCAACACCTTTGGTTATGTAGATAATAGATGACCCCTTGTATGGCTTTCAACCTCTAATCAATGCCATAAATAAGAAAAAGGATACAATAATATTCCATGGGCCAAGTCGAACCCAAGTTGGACAAAAGCCTTTGTATAATGCACATGGCCCCTCTGTTTTAACAGTCTAAAAACAAATACATAATTACATACACTGAAAGATAATTAAAATAATTTTAAGGTAAATGCTAAACACAGAAAGCCAACAACAGAAAATTATCTTCTCCATAAAATATCAAAAGTTGTATCTATGAGTTTGAAAAGTTGAATCTATGAGTTTGAAATACCTGAAATAGGCAGTCCATGGAAGATTTGTAAATTGGGAAAATCTCAACACCAGATCTTAATACTGAAGGCCTGTACCTTCTCTGGTTCATCATTCTTGTCTGAAAAAAGAAAAGACAATGTTAACAATCTAGTCATCTAAGAATCTAACAACATCAACACATATTTATATCCAGTGTAATACATATTCAAATGTAAAGAAGCTTATTACAATATGTAAATATTTACAAGGCTACACAGATGAGACAGAAATCTTTTTATCAATTACATCTTTTACTGAATACTACAAAATCAGTACATATTATGTAACTACGGTGAGCTTCTTTTCTGTAGCATGGTGCCAGCTGAGCATTTGTAACTCCCAAATTTCGAATGCCCTTTTTGGAAACTGTCTGGATTATTATTGTTTCATTGTATATTCAATAACTGTTTCTATATATATCAAAAAAAAAACTAGTAATTTATATGGTTTGGGAAGTAATATAGACGATGTTGACAATACCTGCTGGTGCTTCCAATTTTTCAAACCTACACACCACTAAGACAACATCAATAATGACGATAAGAAATAATCATGGGGTGGTAATTTTATATGCAAATTCCAATAAGAACACCCCCCCCCCCCCCCCCCCGACATTCCTCCCAAGATAATTCACCATGTACAGTATAATTTGTCCTAACCTGATAACACCGGTTCTATGATAAATTGGCTGGATAACCAGTACACAGAATCTGGAATGCAGGGAAATATTTTTTCCCTTTGTTTTATTATTAGGTACAATGGAAAAGTATTATCAGACATGTTTACCCATATTGTTGTCCCTCAGTATTTTTTATTAGATTTGTCAGTGAGATTTGACATTTACCCGTAAGATTTAACTTTCCATCGATTTTACATATATTACTAGAAAACAATTTCATTTCTGATTACCAAAACATGGTTTAATAACAAAGGAAAACATTATACCCTGCGTTCTTTCGAAGGGTTTCTGTCATTTTTAAACGACTGCGTTTTGGAAACCCGATATCAGTTAAGTGTTTCAATTTCTACCCATATTTTAGCGATTAAAAACCGTCAAACTGAGACAGATGATAACGAACTGCTAAAACCCAAACGAATGGATATGCGATTTCCGTATTTTCATATTAGCAAAACATGAGACATATTTTGGACTCAAAATCCGTACACAATACGGCGAAATCGTAAGAGTAAACAGGTCTGTATTATTAAATGATAAAACCATTCCATATTCTTGGAAAACAGAGGAAATTAATCAGGAGTATATGCATGACCACTGTCAATTTTTCTTTTTCATTCACAAAGTCTCAGGCTTCAAACTCACTGAGCTGAATTCTACAGATGCGTTAATTATAAAGTGCAGATATTGCTAGCATAAGTTAAATAGCACATTTAGCATAAATATAATTATTTATGGTTTGATTATTATTGAAATAAAATTAAATTTCATTTATATAAACATTTATGTCTTCCCTTAAATGTTAAGGCCCCATTTTGAAATTGATTCCCAATTATATTTTGATTTGTATACTGTGAATGATTTTATGCTATGCTGTGTAATATTATGAGTAAAAACAAGCTAAATGTATTTTAATTTACTAGTGACTTAACTTTTTATTAACGTGGAATGTGTATCCATCAGCTTTCAGTTTGCTTCAAGTCACTATGTAAACACATGCTGGTACAACTACCCTGCCAGCTAGGTGTTAATTGTAATTAGTGCTCAGGTATCATATAGTGAAACTGGATAAGAGGAAATAATTACCATTTGTAATGAGCAGTTGGGATCAATACAACTGTATGGAAACGGAAAAGACAGAATCCAACTACACAATTTTTTTTTATATTACATTGTTAAAGACATGCATGGGACTTAAATTTAAGGCCAAAATAGACAAAATTCTGGAGTACTCAAAATCCAATTTAGACATATTATACTGTACATCCAAACATAAAAAACCCTGCAGCTTGACATCCCACCCCCCATTCCCACCCCAGTAATTTTACCATGTAAATTCCACCAAGAAACCCCTGTGACATCCCCACCCCACCCCTAGGAATAAAAATCACTTTGCTATAAGCATGAATTCTGCTGTATCCATGTTTCCCTGTAGTTAGATGTTCCAGCCAAAACATTCCTCACATATTACAGGATGTTCCATTGCCCCATATCAACCTTCTAAATGGAAAAACAAATGCTCAGTCTGTACACCATTGTACAGAATACCATAACCACAGAGAAAGGAGAAAGAATTACATCAATAAGAACACAAGTTCAGTGTTTGGGAAATAATGGTCAAGATGACATACGCATGACTTATGTAAACCCACTATGTTAATGAAAGTGAGGGTGGGAAAGGGCGGCAACGCTCATTGTGCCCCTCCTTCACCCTGCTTCTTCCGCGTACAGTGGGGCAATCTGCTGTGATGTCGTCCATTTAGTCGACACTCTGCATCAGTCATATGTTGTAGCTTAGAGCACCTTGAAAACAATGAACCATCCAACTAGATGAGTTAAGATATGTGGTCTAGCGGACTAGACCACATGCACAAGTATACAAGTTTACCAGTGGTGATACATTTTTTGGTACATTTCAGTTTTTTTTGGAATACATACCATTTTGTATGCACTGATGTCTACAGATGTGTCATCTTCTTAACCACAAAATTTAATTCAAATGAACATGTACTTGTATTAGAAAGCATCTTGAAAGACAAAATATTTTCTCTTTCAAGGAAGAAAAAAAATGATGCTTTTCACAGTAATTTTAAAGTAGAAAAAAATTTCAAAAGCATTTTGGACACATTGTAGACATCAGTAAGGAAAGGGGTCCCTACAGTGCATTAGAACTTCTACACTACTCTCCTATACTAATCATCAAGTAATCAATTATAACAAGTATTGGTATATTTTTGTAATATTTTGATCAATATGTCTAGGGGAAACAAATGAATAAATTGATATCAGATCTTGCAGATAACAAACAATTCAAGATTTAACATATGTAACAAAATACTTTGTAAAACTTGATCTGTTGAGCAATTCCAAAATTCAGTTCACATAGACACACTGATCAAAAATGTTGCCAAATTTAATATGCACTTTATATATCATTCTATAATAAACATTAAATCTTTAAATCAATGCAGACTTACTAGTAGTTTGCAGCATTAGAAACTTTTAAAGAAATTCAGTTATCAATGAAGAACAATTTAACATGGTGAAAAATGTGTCCAACACACCAACAACAGACTTAACTCCGTACAAAATCATCTTGGAACAACCCTAGCATCCTACAGATTAGGCCAATCCAACCTTTAGGGACAGGTAATAGAAGAGGCTATGCCAATCCCAAAGCACGTAGATTAACCTATGTCCATTGGACCCTTGGCAAGACAAATTTCTCCTCCTTTCAACTTTGTAATGCCACATTAAATCCAAACAACTTGAAACTTTTTTTGTTGTCCTTTTTAAAAACACTGGAACAATTAGACAAGATATACAGGAAATTCAGTACATAACATGTTTCAAAATTTTTCTTTCAAGAAGGCACCTTAACATGTTTTCTGATCACCAGTGTCCTCTTAGCCAATAATGACACCATCCAATTGTATTGTTCAAATTTCCAATCAGAAAATCAGATCACAGCTGCTTTTCTATTGTGTATAAGCAGAGAGCATGGTAGGAGAAAGACAACTCAACTGTAACTATTGTGTGCTAGTGTGTGGACAAGTTTTTCGCCATATACAAGTCAAAATGACCTAACACAAAATTTAGACATGTTCATTAGCACTGCAGGGATTTTTAATGCCTTGATGATACACAATCAAGCAGAGAATTCAAGACTTCATAAAAAGATAAAATGAAAATTACAATCCAAGGTATTAAATCCAATGTTCTGTTTCAGAATGAAAACAACCCATTTTTTTTTTTTTTTTTTTTCTCCAGAATAACTAATTCATTTCTTCACAACTAAAAACCTCAAAATTATGATGTTTTTTTTTTTTTTTTAAAAAAAGCATTCTTCAAAAAAAGCAATTCTTTATAGAATTTGATTTCATTCATTAATTGCAGCTAAATCTATTGGCAATAATATCACTGATATTAGTGTATCATCTAGACACAGTGTGGACCTTAGGTGGACCAAAAAAAGAAGTGGAATATGGTAAATAAAGCCAAACTACCCCAACTGATTACCTTGACAACATCAATTGGTGTCGAAAACACAGCTCCTATCACACCAGCAATAAAACTTGCCCTAAAAGGAATTGAAATTGAACTAAAATATCAGTTCCATTTCCAACATTTAATTAAAAAATTCCAAAGAATTAACTGGTTGCATATAACAGCTAGCTATCATTGATATTTAACTGATCAAAAATCTATTTTTTAAACAAGCTAATAATTAACAATTGCTTATTGTAAATAACAAATTGCTTGCCCAATGCTTGGGCCATATATGAATACATTACAGGAAGGATATCTAAGATGGTGCCAATACTTAAGAACACTTACATAAAGTGTGTAGCCATGCAGTCCTCCATATTCAGGTTAAGGAGCTGTAACTTACTGATGTCATACGCAGGAAGAATGACCCCGGCTACGATGGCCGCCCGCTGGGCAGTAGGACTGACTCCCTGTCAATCATTACAAAAACATCATCAAAATCCTTGCTTCCTTTATATTTGTATAAGATTTTTCACATTTCTGATTACTAAAAATCAGGTACATGAAAATCTACTTTTTTCTGATTCTATTGCCATGGACCATGTGAAAATGACTTAATTTACTTTGATGCAATGGACCTCATACTTTTAGTTTGTTAAACACAATAAAACTCAATACCCTCCAAAGGCCTGGAATTCCTTCCTGTTTGAAAATTTTGGTAAATGCCTGTGTAAAAGTTTCTCTGCTGCCATTCGCCGTTTGAGCTTGCATACGCACCTGTGAGGCAATGAGATCATTTTAAATATGTTATCATGCTATAATGAAATCGGGCCAAAAATGTAGGAGGAGTAACATTTTGAAAATTCTATACAAACAGACAAACGAACAATGGTCACCTTGCTATCGCATAAGCTCTCTGACCAGTAGAGCTAAAAATTAACAAACACCAAAGTTGTAATACAATAAAATTTATGCTGTTTTTTTTTTATGTCATTTACTCCTGAGTAATAGGACACAAACCTTGAGTACATCTGTGGGGTTTGATATGACACTTCCCACAACACCTGCAACCACTCCACAGAATACATTGATAGGTAATGTCTCGTCTGGAAAAGATAGATAGGTAAATCAAGTTTTAATTTTAAAAAAAACAGTTTTTAACGATTCACAAAACTTGTGTGAATTCATAACAATGACTATATTACTAATGTCCATGTATTAAATAGAGTTTAGCCTTGTTATCTTGAACTGGACAGGACAAAAATTTAACTTTTAGATATATCCAATGATTCTAGATAACCAGGGTTAAAAAAAAAAAAAACAAATATGTGGTTTGGAATGCCAACTCACTTTGACATATTCATATTCGAGATATCAGTGTTCAAGATAACAAGCTTTTAACTGTAAATAAACCAAACACTAGTAGCTCTGAAAACATTTCTATTCTGCAAATAAATATGCAAACATGATTTACATTTTCACTTTCTGTCTAAGTCTTTGTATTTAACAATTCAAATGGCTAAATACAATTATTTACCTTTTGGATTTGGAACAATAAAGCCTTTTAATGAATAGTACACACCAATCTTTATAGTTCCATAGGCTGATTGCCTGAACAATGCAGGTACTAATCTGTAAAATTAAGAGAAAAAAATATAAAACTTAAAATCTTTATACCTTTTACATGGTATTTTTGCATTTTCCTTTATTCTCAAAAAAAAAAAAGGCTCATTATTATGTGCTCCTGGTGAGCTAAAACATTTCACAGATTCCTGGCATGTTGCCAGTTCTATCTGAATGGGCTTTTTAATCAATGTAAAACAGCATTCTACAATTAAATGGAAATCAGCCAGCGGGGACATTCTTCCTCTTATTAAAAAGAAAATGTCTATATTTGGTAAGTAGCGACACATAATTACTGGGAATGAGCCAACTGACATAAATATAAATGTGCCAACTTTTGCGACACTAAAATATTTAGCACCTCTCGTACATGTAAACTATTTTAAATGTACATGTAACTTTGCTAAAATTTAAGTATTTGTTCATTTAACAGACTTTGCATTTTAAAAACAAAGGTTCAGTAAAATGAAATACACTTATTTGGCAAAGGTCCAGAATAATCATACTACGTGCATGAAACAAGGAAGACAGAATAATAAGGAAGAATAAACAGTGGTATAATTATTACTCTAGACAGATAAATTAAATACTTATGTTAAAAGCCAGAATATCATATCTTTATCCAGTAGGGTGTGGGAGGGGGGATAGCCAAATTATACTTGGATGAGGAATGATTTGACTTTTGATTTAATAACTTGGTTCAAAGTCACTGCTAACCCTTAATCCATGTATAAGACTGTGATGTACACAAATGATTGGAAAGAGAAGAAAATGTTCTCTACAGACACGCAATATCTGACAAACTGAAAAAGCATAATGAAAAAAAAACTAGTCACTTCAAGGCATCCACAGAGGGAGGCTCTAACAATGCAAGTTGAAATACACTTTACCCCGAGTATAATGCCCTGATGCCCTCTTCAAAATAAATGCGTTTTAGGGCATGGGTCATGCCTCGATACTTGATCTCCTTCAGGCGGACATCAATTGTCTGGCCTTGAACTTGAAGACGAGTTTTTGTTGTATCAATTGGAAAAGTACCTATAAAAAGAAAAATCAAGAGATCTACATAATTTAACTCCTAATTTTTCAAGTAGTGGATACTGTAATTTGAACCATACCAATGCTCTTCAAATCACTAATTCTAAATGTACCTCTTCCTTCCAAGCTTCAAATAATTATGCCAGACACTTCATATTCTGAAGTAATTTGAAACATGGTTCAAAAAGAGTCGTACAGTATGTAAATTAGGCAAAAAAAAAAAATCTTGGTTTTCACTCCACTGCTATCATTTTGAAGATTGGTAAGAAGTTTCTTGTAAGTTTTCTTTGAAGTGGTCATGAAAGTACCAGTCATGTAGAACGAATCATTAAAAACTCAAATGGTCCAAAGACCCTGCTGGGTGATTTCTGAAGTGTGTTTTGTCACGCTGTTCTTATGCGATAATTTCCATCATATACAACTTCTATTAACAGAAGCTAAGTGGATTTGTATGATCATTGGCCTTGAAATGTTGACAAAATTTAACAACTGATGGATGTAATTAGATATTGTCTGAATTTTCAGTACCAGATAATTAGTGATCAGACCTTCAGTTCAGGTGAGCTAAAAAGAAAACACGCTTACCACTTTCAGCAGCAACGGATGCAATTCCTCCATAAATGAAAGGACGCCAATCATTCATTCCTTTAAAGACTTGGAAACTGGGGGACAAATTTTCTTCTTGTAGCCAAACGAAATTTCAAGAATCTACAGTGATAAAAATAGACTAAATTTCTGTTCACTCTGATCATCTGGCCTATTTCCCTCAGTAAATTTTCCCAAATTTAAAGATGAGTACTACCCTTAAATACCTGTATTATAGACGAGTACTACCCTTAAATACCCAGATTTATAGATGAGTACTACCCTTAAATATACCTTTGACCCTCAAGTCTAGCCAACTGATCAGTAATCATCCCCATACATCATGCATATGAACTAAAATGTGACTTTTATAAAACTTTATTACGACTTTTTTGTAACGAAAGAGTAACTTTTGTTGTTATATATTTCTTTATCTGCACTACCTTTTTTTAAAGCTTAATTTTAATATGTATGTATAACTCTATTCTGCTTTTTCTTATCCATATGTTGCAATAAGATGATTGAAATTTGTGCATAATGTGCAACTTTCCAGAACCCCCCTTTGAAACTTGTGTAACTTGTACCATTTTGTGACTTTTTTAGTTAACTAAATGAGTATGGGCAAGCTATATTAAAGGTCAAAAACTGATCATTTACTTAGTGGGAGTGTTCTAGAGAGGTACAGGTGAAGCACTGGTTGACCCTAGTGAATAAATGTATGGTCAGGCATATGCCATGAGAGAACGTTATGAACACCTAAACCATACTAGTTATATTTACACTGATAAGAAAACAAACTATAATCTATACAACTCACATCTCACAGGTTTGACAGACAATGTTAAAAATTCATGATAATTTCAGCAAATTATCATACCATTTAAATTCTTGACAGTTTTCTACAAAAATCATATTCAAAATGAAAATGACACTCATATTTAAAGCAAATTTTCCATGTTTTAGTACCAATCTAAGGCATTCCCAATAGTCTGTTTTAAATTTACAGGAAATTTCTGCTTTGTTTTTTTAAGCATTTAAAATTCAAAAATTTAGTTTTAGAAATGTTTCAGGAGTAATATGCATACTAGGAGTATCCTACTTTTCCTTACAATTCATGTGGGTTCCAGATCCTGTTCAGAGTTTAAAGAAATTTATGATGCATAGAATTTCTCAGGTTACACAACATAAAATTTTATCTTTTCAAAACTTTCCATCAAGATCATTAAAAAGCAGAGCCTTTTTTCTGCTTTGTGTAAAACTTCTAACTTTAACAGAGAGTATAAATGTTAATGCTATGCAATTCTAACTCCAACTCTGCCATATCTTTTAACTGCTCCATTTCTGTTTAAAAAGTTTTAGCAATTTAATAAAGTGCACAGCTAATCAGCCATGAAATACTGAAATACCACAAAAAACTCTGATTTTGTGGATTGAGTTTGAACTTTTCCCTCAAAGAAAGGAATATCATGAGAAAAAAAAACTGTAGAGAATTCTACATTTTTTGGTGTTTAGTAATCAAAAATGAGCACTGCAATAATGGTGTTTAGTCATAAAAAATGAGCACTGCAATCATATTTTACAAAAAATGTTGTTTTTTTCCCCAAAGAAATATATAGTGGAAACTCACTTATGGCCACGTACTGTACCTGTCAAAAGAGCGGGATTTTAAATAGATCCTATGTGCCATAAAAGAGATTATAAATATTCTCAAACACTGAACATTAAAACCCTTTAGATATATTTAAAAACACAATACATTGTTTTTGTTCTTTTCTAACCAGTTACGATGCATGTCTTTGGCATTCCGCCAATTTAGCATTTTTATTACTGTGTGTCATGATCATTCTATAGATCCATTAACTATCATATATAACAAAAATAGATATTTTAAAATATTTCATGTCTAATATTTTAAATATTCATCTTTATATCACTATCTGTAGTTTTTGGTGTTGACCTTGGCCAACATGTCCTGTTCACGTGATAAACATGTTTTGTAAATTTGCTGTTCAGAACACGATTCTTGCTACTTTTTAAAGTATTTAAATAAAAATATACAAATTTATGATCAATTTGAGCCATAGCTTTACTCACCACGGTTAACAACAAACACAGACGTTCCTCTACAATATTTTGTCTGTCTAGACCCGGCAAATGTTGATCAATATGTAAATTCAGTCAGACATGCGCACTCTTCTGGTGAAATGTTCAAGTCCGATTAGCTCACGTGTCGAGGATTATTGAGAATATTAAGCCTAGCCTAGTTATGATTAGAGGCTAGGTCCATTTGTAACATAGGATACCGTCGCCACACCATGGCAATGCATTCAGGAATATAGTTATTCATTTTTATCCCATGTTTACCCCTTTATCCCGTGGATATGACTCATTGGATATTTTTTTTTCAGATCCCACAGTTAAGTGCAGTTGTGACGTCACAATGGTTTTTGCGTTAGCGTGATGAAGTAAAATTAACGTAGGTCGCGGGTTTGCTGACGTCGTTGAAACTGGGTACGCAATTTATATGATTTGGGCGACTTTCTTGTGCACATTTGATTATGACGTCACAATGAAAAAGAAATCCGCGATGATTTTTGTTTTATTAATTCTTCAGTATATCATAATATAGCTATAACTTTTCTTGGAATTGGTAGTTTAGTGTTATATTATTTAAGCATCGACTTATCACAAATAATGAAGGCTTTTAACGATTTGTATAGTCGATACAATACTTAGATATAACTTTTGTTGGAATTGGTAATTTAGTGAATAAGGCTTATTACGATTCGAATGATCGACACTGGAAGTATTAAAAAACGTTTAATTATTTGTTATCAATCGCATATCTTCTCGGGCCTTTCCTGCAAGCTTGTAAAAACAAGTAATTGTTTTTCGGCTTGTCGGAAAGGCCCGAGAAATTGCGATCGATTTGTTTTCACTTGGTATCGCGAAACGATGTGGACACAAGGCTCAACTGACCTTTTTTTTTTTCCTTTGATCGTATTTGAATTACATGTAACAGGGTTTTTTTTTTTATTAATAAAGAAGCCATTATTTAAAAAAAAATGCAAATACATCTGTTACATCCAAAGATTAAACTTTATTTTTCAAAAGGACATTTTTAAATTATATAGCTCTACAAATTTATTACAAATTAAATACTGCTAAGGTACGATGAAACATACAGACAATTTTTTAGCGACACTGACCTCCTGTAAGGGGACAACTATTTATTTCTGAGGGAAAGAGGGTTGGTAAATTTTACCGAGTCAGATTGTTTATTTTCATGTCGGTGAAGGAAAGATTATCTATTTCCAAAAAGAAAAAAAACAAGGACAGATTATTTATTTCTTCTTCACTGAAAAAAGTCTGACAAGCAATAAGAAAAAAAAAAGAAAGAAAGAAAAACATCAAAGTTGAAAACTCCCATTCTGGGGGGGGGGGGTGCTAGAACTAGTCAGAGACAGATTTTTTTTCTTGCCCAGTCGAGGACAGATTATTTATTTTCAACACATTCGATGACAGATTATTTATTTCCAAAATCTGCAAGCCCCACCCCCACCCCATACCATCCCCGAATGAAATGTTCGTCCCCTAAGCAACAGCTTGTAATGCTCTTACCTACAGATTTTATTCACTCTGCTTTCCATGTCAAACTAGTAGAATTAAAGTTCTAAAAAAAACTGGCTGTTGATTACGTCAGATAAAATTAATTTTAAATTCTTGTCCCATTTACCCCTCTGAAAATGTGGTATGTAAAATAAATATTTTGTTTAAATATATACTGAAAATATACTGTACTTAGCCGGGACGATATTTGGCAGAAATTCGTAAATTTGAAGGCCTTGCTGGTCTAAATAAAAACATTTTATATACTTGAATTACTTAGATTAGGGGATACCGTTTTCTGCTAGCACGCTGGAAAAGAAAAATACACAGCCAAATGTAAGGATAAGTTTAATCTACTGTTGTTTTACGTCCCTTGCGAGAATTCACTAATATATAAGAAGTACAAAAAACCTAATCTGAGGAGAAACATGTCTAATAATCATTCCATTGATATTGAATTATTATGATACGATTCACGGGTCACTTGAAAGCAGATAGACGTGAATTTCTTTTTTATAAAAATTATTTTGTCTTATTTTTCTGCACTGAATACCGGATAGATATTCACGACGTCAAGCATGACGTCGCGATATTTTATGACGTCGTTCTTAAAAATGTTACATTTTGCGATATAAAAGCAATTATCCACATTAAATAACGCGAAAACTAACCCGAAGACATATTAATTTTATCACATTAATTTATTTCAAATCAATTCTTTGTTAAAATACCAAAGGGGAAACAATTTCGTCTGCACCATTTAAAAGTTATTGAAACATTTTTAAACAAAATCTTGCCTCAAAAAGAGCCGAAAACGACGTTTTTCTTATATAATTCAATAGAATACCGTCAAAAATGTTACGACAACAATGGCATGTTTGAGATTTAATTACACAAAAACGGTGCAGACGAATTTTATAAAATTTTCAGAGAATATAAAACGAAGGTAGACGATTCATATAACTAATTTTCATGGTATGTTTTCGGACACTTTTAAATGGCCTGCAAACCCGCGACCTACGTTAATAGTGGAGTCCAACTACAAATCATGGGAGATCCTATATATATAGGATCTCCCATGATTTGTAGTTGGATATGATTTTTATCCAACGAGTTGTGTGTTTTTTATCCCCGAGCCTTGGCGAGGGGATAAAAACACACAACGAGTTGGATAAAAATCATATCCAACTACAAATCATGGGAGATTCTTTTTATCCCATGTTTAATACTTCACAACCAATGTTTTACACTGTTTTATATAGGACTCCACTTTATTTTACTTCATCGCGCTAACGCAAAAACCATTGTGACGTCACAACTGTGGATTATGAAAAATTTATCCAATGAGTCATATCCACGGGATAAAGGGGTAAACATGGGATAAATAGAATGTATTTGTATATTTTTGAACTAGAAATTCAAATTATTGTGTCTAATTTTTATAACGTCTTTTTATTCTGTTATTTGATAGGCCGAATTCAAATCCGTCACCATAAGCGGACATCTCTGAATTATTTTTTGATTTGTTTCTTATTTTGCTACACGTAATAATGAACTTAAACATTGTTTTTAGAACTATTTTTAAAAAATCAGTTATTTATGGAACGCTAAATTAACATATATTCAAATATTTGAACCTATCTTCAAATAATTTTACCTATCTTCAAATAATTGAACCTATCTCTAAATGAATTGAAGATAGGTACAATTGAATTAAAGATAGGTCTAAATGAATTAAAGATAGGTGTAAATAATTATACTTATCTCTAAATAATTACACCTATCTTCAATTCAATTAAAGATAGGTTCAATAGAATTATACCTATCTTCAATTCAATTAAAGATAGGTTCAATTGAATTATACCTATCTTCAATTCATTTGAAGATAGGTACAATTGATTTGAAGATAGGTACAACTGATTTATAGATAGGTACAATTGATTTAAAGATATGTACGATTGAAACATATCTGCAAAGGATGTGAAGATAGGTACAAGTCAATTATACCTAGGTTCAATTCTTTTTCTGTTATTGAAAATAATGAAAGCTCCCTCTAACAGCGTCTTGAACAAGGAGGGAACTGCGCAAAGCATTTTATAGGGAGTAGATGTAGTTGTCAGTGTCTTTATAATTAAAGATAGGTTCAATTCAATTGCACCTATCTTTAAATCCATTATATCTATCTTTAATTCATGGCATTTGTACCTAATCTTCAAATCAATTGTACCCATCTTCAAATCAATTGTACGTATCTTCGAATGAATTAAAGATAGGTAAAATTGAATTAAACCTATCTTTAATTGACTTGAAGATAGGTACAAATGATTTGAAGATAGGTACAATTAATCAAAGATAGGTTCAAATATTTGAATATATGTTAATTTGGCGTACCATAGTTATTGGGCTTATACAAAACTATTATATAAATAGAACGCATATCACATCCGTGTACATTACGTCCAATGAACCCTAACTCCGTCACCAGGGCCCTCTACAACATGTCAATGTATTAATTAGAATTTTTTTAAAGTTTAGTTTTTTCTCCCTTCTTCTTAAACTTGTAAACGTAGAAAATTAGTTTTAAAGATTTAAATAATATTTAACTTGTATTTTAGGAAAAGTATCAACAACAGAAAAAAATAATAACATCACGCTAACGTTATCTCCAACGTGTAGCGTATTAGGGCAAATTGTAAGCTGTAAACTAAGGTGAAATGCCCATGATAAGAAAGATAACTTTCCAAGCTGTCCGTAAATTGTCTTACCAGAGTTTAATTATAGTCAATTCAATCAAGTCCATGCGCGGATCTAGATTTTGTTTCTTTCATCTTTTTTTTGTTTTGTTTTTTGTTTTTGTTTTCTTTTTTTTGCTTGTCAAGAAATTTTTAAATTAGAATTATTTTGACTGGGATGGACCCCCTGGAAAAAATTTCTGGATCCCCGCCTGGGGTCTGCTATTTTACAAATAATTATTAACTTTTATTTTCTTTTGCCAATATTTATGACAGTTACTTATAATATTTTATCTAAAACATTTGCACTCAGTTCTTTTAAAACTGTTAAATTTAAGATATTTCTATCTGTCAATTTTTTTTAAATGCGAAAGTAATTTATCATGTACCAGATGTAGAATTTTCATCATTGGTACATTTTCCTCTAAAAAATACTGGGGGGGGGGGTTTCCAAGGTCTTTTTTTTTTTCGTTTCTTCTATGTAGAAAAAAATATAACTCGATTATTAGAAAACTAAATGTAATATGGTATAAAAATGTTTCTAATGAATGGATGTGGCACCAGACTGTGTATGAAATGTATAGGGAGCATACTTCTGACAAACATGCTTCTGAAATCACACTGTTGTCAAGAGTGATCCATGGTGATAAAATTTTTAATTTTAGAATTTAGTAACCTGAGTATATATTACAAAGTTCACATGTTTAACATACAATGTTTTCATTCACTAAATAAGTCTCCATTATTTCTCAAGAAAACCTACATTTTATTGAGTATACAATATAATGAAAGCTACATAAGAGCCGTGCCTTCCATAAAAATCACATA